CGCAAATTGTTTGCACAATTGCTGTGAGAAGGCCTTTCGGCCGGCATTCATATTTTGACTCCTTATTTATTTGCTGGCACAATTTGAGTGGCTTCAATGTAAATAATTTGGGCTAATCGATTCGAAATTCTCTAGCCGGACTAGCTGGGGTCCAGGATGCAGGATGCAGGATACAGGAAGCAGGATGCAGGTGGCAATGGCAACTTCAAGTTGATACAAAACGAGTTGCAAACTGTGCATTTCCTGGATCCATCAACGGCGCACACAAAGGCCGCCGCATCCTCCATTACTATATATGGAAATGTGCTCTATATTTAATATATATACTGTATATATATATATATATATATTCAAATAAGAATGTGGAGAGAGAGAGAGAGAGTTTTGCATTTGACATCGTCACGTGGCTGCTCGCTTACCCTCCTTTTGATTTTAGCCCAGTTTTTCCCTTGGGTTGCCCTGAGTTGAGTTTTCCATTCCAGGAAAATGGGAGACGACATCAAATCATTAGCAGTGCATAAAGCGTGAAACCAGACACAGACATGCAGATGAATTTAAACTATTAGCAATGGCAGGAGGAAAGAATATAGGCAACAATGTTGGGGTCTCTGCATCCGCATCCGCGCAGCGCTCCAAGGTGCATCCATGGTTAGGCAGCTGGTTTCGGATGAGGATACGGATGAGGACCCGGATGAGGATAGGGATTCGGTTGGGTTTCTTCATTCAACTAGGCGTTGCACTGGGAAAAACTGAGTGGAAATTAGAATTTGGAAATTATATGTGGGACTCTTTGAAGACACATCTTTCAGAAATGTTTCCTATTCTTTGGGAAAATTATTAATTCAAAGTTTAAATGAATATTAAATTAAAAAATAATAATTTTATATTTAATATTTGGGTTTTTTTAATTAAAAATTTAAAAAATACAATTTTTACAATTTTAAAATATATTTTTTAGATCCTCCTTAGAGTTCTACTAATTTTAAAACCTTCAATATATATAATTTAGATACTTTTTAAGTTTTTTTTTTAGGCTTCTGATATTTTCTTTAAAAAATAAACACAATATTAAAATTATTATTTATATTTATATTAAAATATCTTGTTTTTTAAATATATTTTTTAAAATTTATATTTTTTATATATTATAAAATAAAAAAAAAATATATATATTTTCTAGAAATTTCTCTGAGTTCATTTACAGATCCCCCCTTCCCTGCTCTCTGCCTTCCCCCCTAGTTCCCTTGGCAATGCTCATCGTAGTCGTCATCTCGTCCCCATTCTGGTCCTGGTTCTGGTCCTATTTCTGGTCCTGGTTTTGGTTGACATAAACCTGCACATTGTTATAAACGCAATCTTTGCCACCGCCGCCTCCCTTTGGCCTTTGGTTCTCTGTGTGTCGTGTGAATATAAAAGATGCAAATGTAAAGATATTTTTTCCATTTTGCATTTTCCATTCTGCATTTTGCATTTTGCATTTTCATTTTTAGGCTTGCAGGATCAGGACTCTGGCGAGTCGAGTTGCGGTGAGTAGTGCAACGTTCTGGGGGCAAAAATTGTCGCACAGTTCCATCCATTGTCTGCGTCTGTGTCTGTGCAATATAAATAACTCGGCACGGCTTGTGTGCATATTTTGTATGGCTACACAACTTAAAATAAATACAAAATGTTAGTTAGTTGTTAGTGTTGGCCACCATCATTTGACCAACGGAAGCACACAGACATTGGAAAATATTTGCACAGTTTGTGTTTGCATTTCGTTGGGCATTTGTATTTATTCTTTGCGAAACAAATCGAGCTCAAATGCCCATATATACTCGTAGTCATACATATGTACATACATATATCTTGATCTCCTCACTTATTCACCTTGCTTCCATTTGGTATTCAGCATTTTGTGGCTTCTGTTTTTACACAATCAATTCAATTGTTGGCCCAAAAATGCTTCCACAAAGTTGTTAATCACTCGGAAGAAGGTGCAAGAGCATTTGGGTTAATTGTTATTATTAAATAAAAAACTTACAAGTCCACCGATGCTGAAAGAGGAGAATTTATTAAAATTACCTAAAAATAGATTTGATTAAAGAAATCGAAGTTAAGAAACTGAATAAATTATAATTAAGTAAATAATAATAACTAAGAAAATATTGTAATATTAATTATGAATATTTATTTAAATAATAAATAATAAAATTCTTAGGAATAAGCATTTAAAAATATATTTGAAAATGTTAAAACTTTAAGTTAAACTCGAAATATATATTAAATAAATAAATAATAATTCTAATAATTAAGAAAATATTGTATTGTTAATTATGAATATTTATTTATATAATAATATTCCTAGCAAAAGGTACCGAAATTCATTAGGAGTAGTAAATCATTAAAAAATATATTTAAAAATACTAGAACTTTAAATTAAACTCTAAATCAAAATTAAATTAAATTAAATTAATTAAAAATTAATTTTTCAATCGATTATTATGGCTGCTTTGCCAGCGACCCCTGGCGGTTTCCGTCTAAACTTACCACAAGGGGAATCCCCAGTAAAAATGCAGCCTATCTTGAGGCTAAATTTTAAATAAAATTATTAAACATTACTTACCATTCCCATAACTTTTGTATAACCTTAATATTGATAGTAAGAATTCTATATTTTCATATGCATTTCTCTTTATTTATTTTCCATTTTTTTTCTTGTATTCTCTTATTTTTTTTTTGGGGAGATTTTTGTCACGTTTGCGCGGGTTTTTCATAGTTTCTCCTTTTTGGAAAATTCTGTTGTATAATAAACAGATTTTACAGTACAAACACACGCTTTGTTCGCTCATTTCTTATGTACATAAACACAAATTGCAACTAAATGCTATTATCTTGATGTTCAAACATGTTAGTGTTTCTTTTTTTTTTTTTAGGAGGGGGTTTACATCTTGAAATTGTTGATATTCTCATGTTGTAGGTTGTGGCATTATGCATATGTAGTTGTCAAATATTTGTATCTTTTGTTTATTTGGTTTATCTTTGTATGGCTGTAGCGTAGACATTGAATGCTTTTACGATTTGAATGGGAGTTCCTTAGTATTTTCACTATAGTTTAGTCTGTTATTTTAGCCTGTGCCTGTTGAACAACTCTTGGATTTCCATCTATATATATATGTATATATAGGTGTATATATATGTTTCTGTTGCTTAAACGTCTAGATTAAACGTAACTTTGATTTGCCAGGCATTTGCCACCACGAAAAAAAAATGTATTCCCTATAATTAACTTTATCCGTTACTTGTATCTTCGTTTATATATTTAAAATGTACTTTTCCTCGTCCATTTATCCCCTTTTACATTTTCTTCGGTACGTATATGAGTCAGAGTACATCTGAGTAGTCAGCTTTTCGAAGATTTATTTCCATTACCATTTTTATTTTTATTTGTATTTTCTTTTTGGGGGGAGCGGCGTTTGGATATGTGGATTATACATATAGATATATGCAAGGATATTACTGATATGAACACTCATACACACACACACACATGCACACACACACCTTTTCCCGGTTTTTAACTCTGTTTTGTTTTGTTTTTTATTTTTTGGCACACTTGATTTTATTTTAATGTGGAATTGAGCTGAACAAACACACTTATATCATATACAGGACAATGGGTGATTTCCTAGAGGGTGTGTGTGTGTGGTAAAGAAGTTTCCTAGAAATAATAGAAAATTAATTGAAAAAGGAGGTCAATGTTTAGAACAAATTTGAAAAAGATTTTAGAGATTTTATCCCTCAACAGGAAGTTTATTTTTAAATTTAGAAAAAATATACATTCCAAAATATTAAGCGTTTCAATATTTAAAGTTAAGAAATTAATATAATAGGAATTTTAAAAATAAATTAAATTATTTCAGCTAATAATCTCTAATTAATTTCGATTTTCTTTAGGAATTAGGAATCTCTCACACACACCCTACCTACCATAAGCAAAAGAATCTCTCCGAAGATTCTCGAGTTGGCTTAAATCTAGGGTCCGCATTTAGTCTTTTGAGCCATGGAGCAAAAGGAGACAACAAAGGGGTCCAAAAATAGAACCATTTACCATTTAACTAACAACGAAACTCTCTCCAGATCACCCAGGGTGTAAATATTTACAGTTAAAGGTTAGCAAAGATCGTCTAAAGATTTTCTTTATCTCTTTATAGGTATCATATATCATTTATCATATATCGTTTATCGATTATCGTTTATTTTAGCCACAAATTCCCTTCTCTTTGAGCAGGCCTTACATATTATATACAGAACTCTGGATTAAACACCTAATATATATATCTATATATCTATATAGATTATGTGTATTTCTTCTAGAAACAAACCCAACGATTAATTCGAAAACCAAACCCAAAAACAATGGAAAATAAAACCTGACTTAGCCATAGGACATATATATATATATATTTCAATATCATTATAATTATCGTATTGTTTTTAGTACTCATATATGCCTGGGTTGTATATATTTCCGGTTTATATATATATTTGTATATTTCTGTAGTCATACTTTGTTTACTTTCCGAGTAGCTAAAGCCATTCAAAGAACCAAACACCATTTAATCTCAATATCGTTTGCTGGGGGAGTTTTCTTTTTTCTTATTTTTATTTTCATTTTCCACTAACGAGGTAACATTTAAACGCATTTTCTTTTCCACTTAACTACGACACTTTAGTTTCTCCGCTCCTCCGCCACATCCTTTTGATTTAATATGCATTCAATTAGCCCAGAGTCGCCCCACTTTACGTTGCTTATCCTTTGGCAATTAGCCCCGGTAAAAGATGATTAGCTGATGGGGCGGTAATCAACATCATTCCCCATTGATTAATGCTCTCCGGGACACTCACACAAACACACTCACAGTCACACTCACACAACAAAGGATGGCTAAGCCTTTGCCCCATAATCGTGCTTGTATAATTACAATTGAATTAAGCTATAATAATAGTAATAATAATAATAATAATTATAATTATAATAATAATAATCTTACTTAGCTGCAGCTCCCCGCTCCCACAGCTTTCGCCGCCAATTGCTTCTATTATTATTAAACCCCGCTGATCTCTCCCAGATCTCTGGCTTCATCTCGAAGCTCATCGTTGTCTTGACTCCACCTCCTCCTCCTTGGTGCTTCATCCATTGTCTATCCCGGTGGTGGTGGTCGATGGCGGCCTTTGTGTGGCCGGGGGCCATTGTTGGCCTCGCCGTTGCAATCGTTGTTAATAACACCAACAGAAAGGCTAATAGAAACGTTCCGATTAGCCGCATTGTCCCACGGCCGCCTTGGACAGACGAGGCTGCTCCGCCGCCGGTGGCTCCGCGCTCCTGCTCTGGATTCCTGTCCTTGTAGAGCCTGCCATTCTGGTTGCGTGACCCGTCCTCGTGGCGTGTCTCCTTCAGCACCACCTCGTTTTTCTGCGGACAAAAAGAGTGTGTACATACACGTGTAAATATAGACATGACATTTATGGTTTTATTTAAAAAATAAAGGAAATATATATATTAGGGTAATATATATAATATATGTATTAAACTCACCGAAACGTCGTTGTTCTCGTCGTCGCGGATCTTCTTGCCGGGCCTCTCCATTTCTGGTTAAGAAATAATAATCCAGGGTTTTATGTTTTATACATATAATTTTGCTTAGGACTTAATAACATTATTTAGAACTAGAAAAGAATTATAATTACCATATAACCGAATGGTGCCCTCGGTGTCTCCGATGCTGTTCTTCGAGATGCACTTGTAGCCACCAAAGTCGCTCGTCTGCAGCCGCTTGATGTGCAGCACCATCTCGATGGCGTACATGTTGTTCTCCTTCTCGGTTAGTCCGTAACGATCGCCGGCAATAATCATTTCGCCTGTTCGAGAGACCGGGAAAAGGAAGGGAAATCGAAATGAGCGACGCTAAAAATGGGAAATGTGACGTTGCTGATGTGGCGAGATGAGGCGCGGGCGGGGTGAGTTGTGTTTAGTGGAGGGGAAAGAGGAGTCAAGGAGATGGTGTGTGTGTGTGTGTGTGTGTGTGTGTGTGTGTGTGTGTGTGTGTGTGGTCTCGAGGTGTGAATGAAGTCATGAATACGAAGCAGGGAGACAGGCCAAATGAGCTTGAGTTACGTGAGTAGAAAGGCGGAGAAGGGCAGCAGCGGAGGAGGATGAGCAGGAGGAGTAGAGTCCTGCCTCCCGGGGGTCAGGTTGGTGGGTCGTGGGGCCATCGATGATGACATTTCTGGCATTGCCGCCGCCAAGCGTTCCACGTTAACGCTGTGGCTCCTGTCACGTTTGCAATATACGTCAAATGCACTTGACAAAAGAGTTTCCAGCTTCCAGCATCAGTGCTTCTCTGCTCTCCACCCACCCACCTTCTGGTTTTTCCACGCTTCCCCTCCGCCTTTCCTCCGCCTTTGTCCGGGGGAAGGAACGCGGGGAAACAACAAAAATATTTGAGCTTCGAACACGAACCAAATAAAGACAAATTGCGGCATTGAAAGGTTTATAAAGTTTCAACGAGTCCGAGTTCCAACTCGAGCCAGATGCTAAATGAAAAATTCAATTGGTGGCCACTCCCCCGCTTTTGGGTTACTCGGAAACTGCACAGAGAGAAAAAAGGGACAGTGATATCTAATAAAAATAAGCGGCTAGACTACGTTACAAAAGAAGAAATTGTTGATAAAATAAAATTACTAAAAAAATAATGAAAATCTCTACAATTGTGCATCTAAAAACTGTTCAATTTAATTTAAAAAAAATAGATACACTCTCTCTGTGCAGTTTTCGTCTTTTCCCAGGTCTTGCGGACTTACCATTGATTTTTTTTATTTTTTACATAAACAAACATTCAATTAACAAATTATTCAATCATTTATAAAATTTAAAAATTATAAATCATCAAATCGATTCTTACAAAATTTGGTTACTTTTCGTTTTGTGCCTTTTCCGGTTAAGAATATCCGACTAACTATAATGTAAAATATTGAATTGGAAAATAAAAATATCAAAATGTATATATCTTTTAAGCTTAGCAATCAGGGGAGCTCCCACAAATCTCTGGCGATGTGGAATCCCCTAAAAGGCCGCCAATAAGTATGCAATTCTTTACATTCAATTACATCAATTGGAAATTCAAGAAATGTTGCAGTTTTTGTCGAAAACGAAAAAATAAAAGAATTTCTCGAGGCATACTTTAAGAAACTTTTTCAAGGACCTTTCAAGCGTTAGAGATTTGTGTGACTCCACTGAAAAGTTACTTTTTTTAAGGGGTAACACTACTGTAAAAGCTCGAGAAAGTCTAGAGTTTCTTTAAACAAATATTTAAAATTTAAGTGGAAAGCTTGCGTAGAGTATAACTATTTACAAAAGACGGCAATGGTGGTGTGCAATGTGAAAAGAATAATTTAAAAAAATTAATTAAGAATGCAAAATATTTTAAAGATATTTTAAACAAGCCAAAAATCTAAAGAAACCATATTAAGAGTAAATTAAATAATTGGAATTGCTAGAGTAATAAAAAAACTATTTAAAATCGATTAAATACGATATTTTTCAGCTCTATGGAAATCGATAACTAAACCAATATAAAAACTTTAATATCACAAGGCGGAAGGCTCTAGAAAGTATTGTCAGAACATAAAGCTTAAATTCTAAACGTAAAATAATCTATAAATTACAGAATTCTATTTATCGATATATTCCAAATATAGTAAATAGCTAATCGGTTGCGGTTTTTAGTGTAAAGTGCTGTAGGGGGTTGTTGCTATGGATATTATTTCTCGCAGACTCTACAGTGGTGTTGCCCCTTAAATAAAAATACATCGAATCCAGCAATACGAAAGTGAAGAACATTTTTTAATTCAACTGATAAGCAAACAATCGATAATCGATAGTTGATAATTTTGTGATGAAGATCAAGATATGCTTTATTTAATTTTGTATTTTGGTATTAAATGAAAAGTTTGGCCAATTGGTACAAATAATAAAAGTCAATGAAAAAAATGTTCTCAGTGTGGCTTATAGTTTTTTTTTTTTCTTTTTCTTTTTCTTATTTTTATTTTCTTTTTTTTATTAGCGACTTACCATTCTCGCGCTGCCAGTAATTGATGGCCTTCGGTGATGCCTCGACATTGCAAATTAATGTGACATCCGTGAGGACCGGGGCGCCGACCAATTGATTTGGCACTTGGACCAGCGGATGAACTGCAAGGATGGAGAGAGAGAGAAAGGGAGTGGGGTAAATTGTTAAGCCATCAGTGACCTTGTGTAAGCCAGAAACCCCCAACCACCCGCTGCGGACTAGACTGGCAATTAAGCTGCGACGCCACAAGGGACCAAAGTCAAACTTCAAACCCTTTTATTCCGGCGCTGGATTCTGGATTTTGGGATTCGGGATTCCAGCTGTGATTCGCCATGTTCTTTCCTCTTTTCCCCCCATTTTTTATATTCTTGTTTTTTCTTTACTCTCTTGGTTAATGGCAGCAACAACAACTGATACGATTTTAATTGAAAATGAATTATTTTGTTGTTAGAGTGAGCAGTAGCAGTAGCAATCCCGGCCAGCAATCAGGGACCCAGGATGCAAGCCCCAGTGGTGGTCAGTCGGTGGCAAATAAAACGAGCATGCAATATACCATGTTTTTTCCCCTAGATTTTTCCTCGATTTTCCTTCCGTTGGGAACTGGGAATTGGCTTGCTCGGCCAGAGGAATGATGATGATGATGATGATGATCCCCGAACGGTTTAATGATTCCTCTATTCAAATCGATTGAAGCAAAGCAGCTCGTTAGGGAGTCCTGACTTTGATCTATAGTTTTATATATATATACTCTTACGTAAATAGTATAAAATGTAGGCATCTTTAATTTGTAATAATTTTCTTAACCAAGTATTTAAAGAATACAAATAATTTCAGCTGAAAAAATAAGTCTTCTATATTTTGCTTTGATTTTTTCATACATTTTTAGAAATAGATTTTTAGTATACTTTATGATTTTTTAAACTGTCCTAAAGAGCACCTCTGCTTCGTTTAGAATTTGGCAAAAAGTTCCTTGCCTTTGCCTTTGGCCCGTGGAGATTTTCCATGTGGCTCGTGTCGTGTTGAGATTTTTTCATTCGTTTTTCTTGGCTTCTCTTTTTTTTGCTTTATTTTTTCTCCTTTTTTTTTTTGTTTAAGTTTGCTCTTTGTTTTTTTGTGTGTGTGCATTTTTCGCCCTTGTCTTTGACGTTGTGTCTTGAGGCCGCCCCGGGGAGCGAAGTTGGATAACCGAAGGACCAAAGGACCGCAGGCCATAGCCACTGACCATCATTGTTTTTTGGCTTTTCAACTTTGCTTTACCATCTGCCTGCCTTGCCCCTCCACCACCTCAGGCCACCGGTTTGCACCCTTTTCCGCCTGGAGCTGCATTCAAGCGTTCATTATTGGTCAATTTATTGGATTTGTGCATGCCGCACTCGACTCCCATGGTCGTGTCCTGCTGGATATATCCTGGCTCCTCCCTAGTGCAGCATATGTCATGTGTTGTCCGCCAAAAAGTCCCCCCACTCTCAGTCTTCCTACGTCCCTGGTTTTTACATCGAAAATTCAATTTGTCCTAATAGAGTTCTGGCAGCAGCTGCTCCTCCGCCCATAGTCTGATTTTTAAGAGCCCCCGATAGTTGTCAGGACCTAATGAGTGGGTTTTAAATTGAAGTTAAAAAAATATATATATAGTTTTAATATTTTTAAACCCTATAAAACACTTAAGCGTGCTTTAAGTCAGCTTTTTATAGTTTTTTGAATTAATTTTCTCTTCCGTAGATTTCTTAAGTTTTTAATGCCTTAAAAAGACTGAAAATGCTCATTAAACCCTCCCAAAACTCTCCTATTTTTAAATTCCCCTTTAATGTAACTTAATTAAATGTATAAAATTATTTATACAATTCTTTTTAATGTGCCAAATTGATTTTATTTTATTTTTTTTTAATGCATTTTAAGATAGTTCCTATTTCCTCTTTCCTTGAGCGGCTTTTCGAGTCTAGCCCGAGCCGTCTTCGGTGGAGGAGGAGGTGCCGGTGGTCTCGGTGGAGCTCTCGCTGCTGCTCTCCGAAGAGGAGCTCACGGAGGAATCGGTGGAGGAGCTGGTGCCGGAGCTGCTGTCGGTGGAGCTGCTCTCGGTGGAGCTGGCAGCGGCACTGCTCTCGGTGGTGGTCCAGCAAGGTCTGGGGCCACGTGGACGACGTGGCGGTCCATCGAAACGGCCAGGTCTTCCCCAACCACCGCGGCCGCCGCCGAAGAAGCCTGGTGGTCCAGGTGGTCCACGGTTCAATCCTCTTCCGCCGCCAAAGCCACCTCCACCACCTCGTCTTGAATTGAAGCCCACGCTGCGCTGTCCTCCGCCGCCACCTCGGCCACCTCGGCCTCCACGGCCGCCGCGACCACGTCCTCCGCCGCCTTGGGCCAGAGCCATTGCCACCAGGGCCAGGAGTAAAATTGCAATGTAGAGACGCATTCTCGGTGTATTAGCTCCAGTCGCAACTGATTTTGATTGGCAAAATGTGGGCACTTTTATACCCGAAAAGCAGCCCACCAAATCCCCCAAAAGAATCCCCTGTGACGTTAGACCCTGGTATTTGCTTAGCTGGAAGAGCGAAGAATGGAGCATTGAATCGCAGAGAGTCTCCCTGAAATTCAAGCGATTCTTCGCTTGCTTCGCTTCTTGTGGCCACAGCTGGCTTGTGTTGACACCCTGCTGGCTTTTGTTCATAACTATTTTGGGGCTGGGGGGCTGATTTGCCGGTATCTACGCAGATTCCCCATATGATTAATTCGGCTTTTATTAGTTAAACTGAAAAAAGTGTCCACATTTAACTGAATTGTCAACAAATTTTTGTTTGCTCAATTCCATTTTATGTGTTTTTATTATTTAATTTAGCAAAAAATAGAAAGAATGCTTTTTAACAAAATTATAAATATAGAAAAATATAAAAAATATAAACAAATATTAAAATATAGAAATATACGAGTTTAATGTAGAAGATGTTGAATTTAAGATTATATTAAATAAAATTAAATATTAAAATTAAATAAAACATTATTTAAATTGGTGAATATATTTTGTGAACTACCTTTGATAGTAAAAATGCTTATATTTGTAAATCATCAAATTAATTGTATATTATAAAATAAGAAATAGTAATATTTAATATAATAATAAATAATAATATATTAGAATATTGACAAATAAGAACAATAAAAAATAATAAATCAATAAATATTAGGTAAATACAGTATAAATAAATAAATAAATTATAAATAAATTTTCAAGAGGTAAATAAATTATAAATAAATAAGTTACAAGTAAATACATAATAAATATATAATAAATATATTTAGTCATAATTTAATAATTATAATTATAATATTCATTACATTTAAAGCAGAAGCCAAAGAGTCTGTAAGCTAGAAATAATATATAGAAAATATTGATATATTGATATCGATGCATTCATATTTGAGGCAAAGTCCGATAAATGTTCGATAAATTGAAATCATTTTTGTTATATATCGAAAGAAATTCCCTAAAAGTTAACTGTTTCAAAAATGAGACTAAAATTTAATAGAAAATTTAAGCAATGAGTTTGTCAAATATTTAAAAAACTATTAAATTAAATTATTAAATGTTATTAAATAAATAAAATTAAATTTTTTAAAATGTTTTTTATGTTTTCAATTTCAATTTTTCAACTTTAACACTATTTATTATACGAAATTAAAAACGATATCCAGACTCTTCCTTCCCCAAAACCCACTGTATGTCTGCAAAACGCGACTGATATCATTGGGGACCTGGCAGCCACTTAACGTAAACACCCGTCAAACAGCCGAGAAGCCACTTAATTTTCTGATTAGAATCAATCAAGGGGGAAAAGTGAAAAGCAAGGTGAAAACTGGGCTTTTCCGCTATTCACATGTATGGATTTTTTCTGGCAGAAATGGAAATGAAACGACAGGGGAAGCTGAAACGAAAAGAAAAGCGAATTTGTGGCATAGATAAAATAAAATAAAAATGAAAATTAATTTTTGCGGCACACCGACACAGAAACACACACACACGGCGAATCAACAGGATGTGCAGAGTGTCTATCAGTGTGTGTGTGTGCCACATTTTCACGACCGTGTCAATATAATTTCCAGATAAGATCTCTCTCCTAGCTCTCTGCAGCTTTTCCAGCTCTTTCATTACCTCCCTTTTCTTACTTTTCCCCCCACCTAGTTCCGCTTTTCCTCCCCTTTGCTTCTCGCCAAATTGTCGTCGTTTGAACTTTTGCCCCTTTTGGAAAATTTCATTAACTTTGATGCGGGAAGGTAAACCAGTGGCGGGGGCTGTAAAAAGAGGGGCAAAAATCTAACAATTACCCCACGAACACACACACACCTCTCGCTTTAAAGTTTTACTGCAAGAACGTGACGTTGCGTTGCCCTTTTCAGTGGGGGGAAAAGCGGAAAAACCATACCTAATGCATTTGGAAAGTTGTGCCGGCCATGTGAAGGAAGCTGCCGGATATCGAAACGGAAGCACTTGCACTGCGTTATTGCTGCGGTTCTGTTCCTGTTTCCAAACAGAACAAAAAAAAAAAATTTATATGTATATACAGAGGAAGCAAACTCCCAACTCCTGGCCAGGCACGCACATCACATCACATCACATCCGAGCCGGGCTATAAGTTACCATTATGATTATTATGCTGCATTAGCCGTCTCCTCCCCCCACCAAAAACTGCCATAAATCAGGACAGAAGCAGCCAAAGCAGCAGCAGGTGGCGTCTCCCATTTATCAAGCATCATAGTTATATAGCATATAGCATATAGGTTCGATGGGTACTCACAGTGCACCTGTAGCTTCATCCTTTTGCTCACCGTCGGCGGTACTCCGTTGGAGGCGATGCACAGGTAGGCGCCCATTTCCGATCGCGTGACCTTTGACAGCACCAGCATTTCGCCCTCGACGTACAGGGCTGTAAATCAAATGGATGAATCGGTATATATATATATATATATGTGACAGACAGGATGCGGTTGGTAAGTCAGCTAGGCTCAAAAGAAATATATATATATTTGGGGTAAACCACTTTACAAAAAAATGTTTTGGCATAACGGCTAAACTTAACTTGATGACTTAAATATTATATAATACAACAACATTTAAACAACTTCTTTTTAATTTTTGTATTATAAAACATCAAAAGGGGTAGGAGTTATAGGGAATCTTCTGAGTCCTCTTCAAAAAAGTTGGATTGTAATTCCTATTAATTTTTTATAATAAAGAATCGTCGGAAATTTAAAAAGAAATATATTGAATTCGCTTAAGGATAAGTCTCCTAAAGTACTCATGTAGCTTTTTTATTTTTAACATTTTTGTTCAACATTTTTTATCCAAATTGGAAGTGAAACCCCTGAATATTAGCTTAAAAACTTAGTTACTTTGTTCTATTAAAAAATAAGGATTAAAAAAAGCCCTAAATAAGTAACTTTAGAATTAGTTAAAAAAGTTAAGTGCCAAATTTGAAAACTATTGATCCAGTAGATCTCGAGTTATCGTGTAAACTGACTTCCAAAATGCCATTTTTCAGGAAAACGTTTTAAACTTTGAACCCTAAACGACCTCCGTTCAACTATGATTGATGTTAAAATTTGACAAAATATTCTTAAGATATTGGACATTTTAAATATAAAAAAGTAAAGAACTAAAAACTTGAGACTAAAACTATAATACCCTGCAAGTTGGGTTATTCTGCTTACCCTTGGTCTTCTGATGGTTGCCATTCCGGGCAATAATCTCCCGTCCATCCTCGCGTCGCCACGTAATCTTGGGCTTGGGATGACCGCGAGCACGGCAGACCAGCTTGGCGGAGCCGCCCTCAGGCACCATCATGTCGCCGGAGGTCTCCTCGTTGATGATGTCCGGGGGAATGACCACCTCCAAGGTGGCCGTCTGCAGTAAGAAGAAATTATATTAAAAATAACAAAAAATATATATATTTAATTATTAATTATTAACTAACTAAATATATAAAAAAATACACTTAAATAAATACTATACTTAATTTTGAAATAAATTTCAATTGAAGAAATTGTTGTCCCATTAAAAAGAGCCTTTCGATGCCCCCTGGACGTTTTTAACCTTCTTTATAGTATATATTTTTAAATTAATATTTATATTAAATAAATAGGTATTTATTTCATATATAATTAATAAATAAATACATAAATATATTTAAATAAATACTATAGTTTTGTTAGGAATACATTTCAATTGAAGAAATTGTTGTCTCATTAAAAAAGAGCCTTGCCCCCTATTCCTGGACATTTTTAGCCTCCTTTAAAGATTTTTAGTGGCATTTTTTGTCCTTTTTTTTGCCCTTATTTTTTATTTCCTTATTTTTTTGAAACATTTGTTTCATTCTGCGGTTGTTGGCTGCTGCTACCAGCAACAATAACCGAATTGCTGCTATCATTGTCGTTGTCGTTGTCATTGTCATTGTTTCCACTGCAGTTGACAGTTGTGTCATAAAATAAAGTTGAAGTCACAGGGAAAAGCGGGGTGAAAAAAAAAACCTAAAAAAAATGGGAGGAAGAGGGCAAGGAGGAGTAAAAGCAGGAGGCAAAGGAAAAACCCCAAACGAGCCAAGCGCGAAATTTATACGACTGAAAGAGCGAGAGGAGGGGGCGGGGGGTTGGTAAAGGCAACAGCAAAAAAAAAAAAAAGGCTTGAAAGCCGGGAAAGCCGGGAAAGCTGGAGAAATGTCAAGCCTGTTTGCTTTTTATTTGTCTCATATTTGCTTTTCACTCAATTCGCTTTGTTAGGTTGATTTTATTACAAGATGGGTGGACCGCCCCACGTCGTCGTCCTTGCAGCATAAATGAAATGAAATTGAAAACGCAATCGTTTTCCACATGTCATGGAAAAGCGGGCCAAAGGGAAATGGTGGGGGAGTAACAAAAAAAAAAAAAAACTCTATTCAACTCAACTCAACTCGACGCGGCGCGGCGCTCGACTCGAGTAACAGCAAACGTCACATGAGACGCCTACGAGCGCATAGGAAAATTCCAGAGCAACGGGCCCCGGAAAATACACACACACACACACACACACTCCACACACCCCACATAAGCGTCCTTTGATGACGTCAACATTGCAACGGCCCACAGTGTTTGTTATTTATTTTTGTCATTAAAGCGCTTCATTGTTTATATATCGTGTTTAAATGTCGCCACCCTCCCTCGCCCAGGAAAAATACAAAAAAAAAAAAGGAGAAGAAAGAGGACTACACGCCAGGACATGCACAAAGGACGAACAAATAGCCCAGGTCAAGGAGGACGCATCGACATTCCCGGAATAATTTCATTATGGCCATAGCCTCCTTGAAACGCCGGCTTTGCGATGCTTTTCGGTTGGGCCTTCGGAAAAGCGAACTGAAAGTCGATAACTTTGATGCTTTGTTAGCTTCTAGAAATTAAGACACGCACAGTGGGGCCCCTGTCGTTATATTCTTGTCAAAATAATTATATTCATACTTAAAGTGGAATATATTTTTCTATATTTAAGAAAAATCTAAAATAATAACTATCCTAAAGCTAGGATTTACAATAAAGAAAATTTAAATTGTTCGAATTTTTGTCTATATTTTTTCCAAATTTAGGCCTTTCTTGTTCTTATTGGTTTTTAAATGTTCCTGCTTTAATATAAGGCGAAACTCATTTGTTTTGTTTACACACATCTTTGGCGCTAAATATATGGCTAAAATTTGGCCTTTTTATGGTAAACCGTTTTATGAGCATACTGTTTAATATAAGTAATATGTTTGTACTATATTTTAAATTGATTTAACGAGCCTGTTTGTTTTTTGTTAGAGAAAAATCATTCGATAATATTTAATTCCTCGTCATCGAATTTCTTTTTTATTTAGTGCCGACAGGGATATATCGTTTCACAACACTGAAGTTATGTTAACATTATGCTTAACAGTCTCTGGCCTGTAAGGCGCAAGCGCAGCCAACTTCACTTTATTTTTGGTAAAAACTTCTAAAAAGCGAGAGCACGCAGCCTTCAAAAAAACAAAACATAAAAGGGAATTTAAAGGAACTTTCAACAGCTGAATAAACTGCAACGCCTACTGTAAGTGTTTGACTTTTCCATTATTTCTTTAGTCCTAAGATTTGCGCAGAAGCAGCGGCTTGAGGAAACTTCAATTTTTCGGTTAGGTTTTCTTACATTTTCTTCTTTAATTTTAATATTTCCTGCTCTTGTGCTTTATATGTTCGATGCCCAAGTGAGTTATTCGTACACACACAAGCATAACGCATTAAAATTGACGCACTCACCTGCATTTTCATGGGATCCGTGTTGACCTGACACATGTATTTGCCGGAATCCTCCATTTTGACGCTGCGAATGTTGAGTGTCCATGTGTTGTAGTCGTTGTGCTGCACCGTTAATCGATCATTGTTGGTTATCACGTGCTCGTGTATGGCCAGGATTGCCTTGGCATCGGCCTTAATCCAGGCAACCTGATGGTGCGGATGGTGAGGATGCGGGCGGATGTATTCCAGGAGGTGGCAAGTGGACAATGGTTGTGGATGTGGGCGGTGGGCGGTGGGAATGTGAATGGAGTGGGGATAAAGGGATGACCATTTTTGTTGTTGTTGTTGAGTTGATGACAGCACCGTTTTCCGAGTGTGCCATATGCGTGTGTGTGTATGGTGTTGATGAAGACAACGGTTGGCCGTTGTTGCATGTCAAAGTGTTGTTTGTGTGTGCCGTGTACATGTGCGTCAGTGTCCGGCAGATGTTTGGAAATTGCAGTTTGATAACCGGCCACAGTTCGCAAAAGTTTCGGTGTCGGTGTCGTCGTCGTCATATTTAGTTAATGTCATTATTGGCAACATTCGCGCATTGTCAGAGTTTTAGTTTCCACAACAGATATAGTTGTTGTTGTTGTTGAATGTTTGGAGTTCAGCGATTTCCGTAATTAAGAAAAATCGATAATCAAATGAATAGGTGTCGTGAGTAGTAATTATTGGAATTTTTTTCGTTAGCGTTATCGATTTTATTGGAATTTCGTTTTAAAGAGTAATTAAGATTTGTTGTATTTGTTGGTGAATCGTGCGTTGGAGTGGCATTTTGCGGTTTTGGTCAGAGTATACCCATGGGTGTCGTTATCGTTGACATTGACAATGGTTTCAATCGTTTGTTGTTGTATTTTGTTGGTGTATTGTTGTTAGGGGATAGTTGTGGTATTGTTGTTGTTGGGCATCATCAGTTGTCAGCGCAATTTGACGCCATTTCCATTTTCCACAGCAAGCAGTAGTTGGATGCCGCAAAGTTTTTGCAAGTTCGGGGTTTCGGTTATTTGTTTTTTGTCCATTTTTTTTTTTTTTTTTTTTTTTTGTGGTTTGCCATTGAGTGCAGATTGTTAGAGTCCCAGTCGGTGTTTTTGTTGTTGTTGTTGTTATGGTCGGTGGATATGAAAAGGGATATTTCAAGTGCAATTAGTGGAATTGGGTTTGCGGTTTTCCGTTTTCAGCGTCCATCGTTGGCCATTTGGCGAATGGTTTGGTTTTTTATTTTTGTTTTTGTGTTGTGTATGTGGTATTAAATTTTAGTTTGTGTTAGTGTGTGTGAAGAAGAAACATTCAACAATTAGTTAACATTTTTCGCTTATGCATCCGCTTCGTATTTCTTATGCATTTCTATATTTTTTATTCGTTTTTTTTTTTGTTGTATTTTTTCTTAATTTTCTTTTTTCTTGGGGTAACCAAAGAGTAAAGGAAATGCCGCTCACATGTGCAACACACACACATACAGAGACATATAGACAGATACAGAGACAGAGACCGAGATATATATATAGTATATGTATATATATATATTCAGAAAGGAAACGAAAGGAAAGGAAACAAAAGAGTCATGAATAATGGGTGCAGTTGGCGGTGCGTTGTGAAGCGGCTAATCAGTTGGCATTAACATCGCATGCACAATTAGAAAAAAGAGTGGATTAACGTTGGGGCCAAAGGCGGGGGGATCTGTTGTGGCAATGGTGGTGGTGGGAGGAGGAGGGGGACTCTGAAAGGGATATGCAAAGCAGGCAAAATGTTGCAACACTAACTATCCAGTCATATCCTATGCTAACCTATCCTATCCCCAGTAATCCCCAGTGCCAGCCCCAATCCCAGTCCCATTTCCATTCTCCACTCTGCCTAGTTTTAATTAACATTATGATGTGCCGACTGAGCGCAGTCTACGGGCTTTAGCTAATAGGCTTAAGCGGCTTTTGTGCGGACCGAAAGGGTTTTGCAATCGTGGAACGACGAATGTGGAACGGGGAATGGTGGAAAGGAACAAGAGATAAACTTGTACTGATTGCTAGCAAAAGGAAAAGAAGGGAATTAGTATCTTTTGCATATGCAAACAAAAAGGCTTAAATCTGTACTAAAATTATAATTCTCAAGTCTTTTTTTGGGGTATTTTACATACAGTTTTGGGCTTATAAAATAAAACTAAACGTTAAGAAAAGGTTCCATTATTCTCCCAGTTAAATGTTATACACTTTTTGAGTATTTAGTAAAACAATGCTAAATTTTTTGCACATGCAAAATAACGCATTTACCCTTAAACACCTATACATATAATTCCCAAGTTCTTTTTTTGGGAGCTACAATTTTAGCCTGAAAAAAGGCATTGAGAAACTGTTTTACTATTTCCCCTGTTTAATTTTATATATTTTCTTATCAAATATAATTCTATATTTATTCAAAAAACCCCTTAAAGCAATTTGAAATTGTTTTTAGCATGAAACAGGCACTTATAATTCCCAAGTTGTCTGTTTTTGTTTGTTTTATTATTTCCTCTGTTTAATTTTATATATTTTATATTAAATATCATTACAAATTTATTTTAAAACCCCCTTAAAGCACTGTATTATTGTTTCTTACTATCTGTTTTTAAATTTAAAGTCTTTTAACCGTTTTTCCCCTCCTCTACATCATATTTGTGTGAGTGCTAAGCTCTACCTAAAAATCCTGTAAAACGGATTCTGGCTACGGCTGTAGTTCCCGATTGATATAACGTTCACGACTCTGGCGCAAAAAGTGCGAAAATATTTGCCATTAGTCCGTTGTTATCTGTCCTTCCGACAGCTGTTCCAAAAGCGATACCCCATTGTCCAGGATCCGCTGCAATCCAATAAGCAGGAATGCCAATACAGCTGAGCACCAGCCCCCGTCCCCAGGACCCTTCAGTTTTTTATGGGAGCGTGTCAATAGCGAAGGAGGTGAAGGAGGTTCGGTCCGGGTTGAGAGGCTGCGAGTAAATAAATACCCTTGGACAGCGGAACAAACGTTTGATGTTGCAGCGCGGCGCTGGCGCTGGCGCTGGCACTGGCACTGGCTCTTTATTTATTTACTCAATAAAGCAAATTTATTGGATAATGCATGGGGATGGCTGGCTATCTGGGGATCTTCACGGGATGACGGGATGGTAAAATTCGGGGGGGTTTTTTAACAAAAGGCTCAAACGGATTGTGAGGAAAATCGGGGCAAACACAAAGACAGAGAGGGAGAGACGAAAAAATACAAAAGTAAGGGGGGGAGGGGGGATGGATTGTAAAAAATTTTCAAATGTAAATGCAAATAAAGCGAGCAAATGTCATAAAGTAAGTCTACAGTTACACACAGCACTACTTTACATGGACAATACGACTACATAAAGCACACGAACACACACACGGTGACACATTCACTCACACACACACAGACATATACCTTGTATATGTATATAACAGTATATATACAAATAGACGTACGAAAATGGTGCAAAGTTTGTTTCGGTTTGAACTCGGTGCGCTTGAATTTATTTTATTAATATTCCTCTGCATTTTACCAACCAAAAATATAAACAGTAAAAGTGGGCTAAAAACAAGAAGAAAAAAGTACAAAAAAAGAAAATATAAACCAGAAAAAGGGGGGGACAGAGACGCGTTATAGAGAGAGAGAGAGACAGAGAGAGAGACAGAGAGGTAACTGAAATGGAAACAATGCAAGGATATTGCTGGTGCCTGGCCTCATTGTTCGCATTGTTGCCGGGCCCGGGCATCATCATCCTTGTTAAACAAATGGACGACGGGCCGCAAAAGTCGCGACTCGCAAATTCATCCAAACATTTGCTGCAAAAGAAATCTTTAATTATGCAGAACCGGCGAGAGGAGCTGAGTGGATTGCATCGCATTGTGTTCAAAATGCATAAGAAAAGAACATAAATTGATGTGAACCGGAATGCCTATAAATTAATACCCCTTATTTATAATAATAAATTTTATACGTAAATGATATATACTTATCCTAACCCATCCGAACTCAGCCTCAGCTTAGGCCACACATCTTAAACTTTACCAACTTATTTAGTAACAATTAAAGGAACATCATACTCAATATTATAGTTAAATACCCTTTCCTTTTTTTGAATATTTAATATTATCCTTAGCTAGAGTGTATTTCACATTCGCTGCCATTTCGCTGGCTCTTTGATGTTAGTCACCATTGTCCTGGCATCTCGTGGCAACGCAATTTATTTTATTATGTTCACAATAATTTATATGTATTTATTTATTGTTTAAATAACATGACAAAGGGGGACACACTGCTCTGCTTCTCTCTGCTGTTTGGTTTCGTTGTTTTTGTTTGATTGAAGCATCGAAGGATTTATATGAAATGGCGTTTTTATTTATGATGCCATTTCGTTGATTAACACTCTTTGACAGGCGGCCAACAAGGGGAGAGTATCAACAGTCCGGCTACCCTGGTTTAAGCCTTTTCTTTTTAAGTGGAAATATAATCGCGGCTTTATTAATATTTGATATACCCAAAATCATAGTCAGTAATGGATGTAAACGCTCCATAAAAACAAAATTCTTGGATAGCAGGTGTTTTTCGTTACGCTTTTTTTTATAGGGAATTCAAAATATATCTCTTATAAAGTTTATATATATTTAAAGAGACATTTTATGATTAGTTTTGACTCAAAGACCTTCAAAATGAAGTTACTTTTAGACTTGCAGGGTTTTATTTTGAATATATCCTCTTCGGATGGGTCATTATAGACTCCTATTTTGGGGTTCTGAAAGCCTGAAGCTATCAAGAAAAAATTTCACAAAATTTGTACTCAATTTTCTTGGCTTTTAAGCACAATAGATTAAGATTAAGATTAGGACGAAGTCATTTATAATATTTATAAAATTTAAAGAGGCGTTTTATAACTGGTATAACTTGAAAGAGAAGTTACTTTTAGACTTGCAGGGCTTCATTAGGGATATATCCTCTCCAGATGAGTCATTATAGACTCCTACTTTCTATTAAGAACAAATCTCACTAAATTTGTACTCCATTTCCTTGGATTTTAAGCACAATAGATTAAGCCAAGTGAATACGATTAAGCATTAATAATTATTATTAACTTATCGGAGCATGCAAATTAAAAGTTAAAGCCCTTCGCCAGGTCTGTTTTAACCGATTATAGATGCTTTCACAAATAATCCCATTGAATCCCATGTTGATCGCTTAGAACGAGTGACTTTGGCGGAATAACCACGGCTTTAAAGGGATTAAATTCATGCCGATACAATGACTTAATTTGTTTTCATTGTTTACGCGTTGTGGGCTTCATATCGAGGGCCACTTTCCGCTGAATAATAGCTATTTTACATTTATTATTGTTGTACTTGTTTTTTGTGTATTACGTTTTTAACGATTCCCAGCCGATTGTTTATTGTTGTTAACAACAATCGCTTACAGAGGGTATTTTATTTTATTTTATTTTATTTTATTTTGTTTTTTGTGTTTGTGCAAGTTGCGTTGCTCTTTTTATCGCTTAAAACTCTTTGGCCCCCCTCGGCTCCCCGGAGTCACTTTGTGAGTGTTATAAATTAAATGCGAGTGCTAATAATAATATAATGCGATGATAAAAACAATAAGCTATGCATTTTTCGGTCTCGATTTCGCATCGCACAAATTGTGCGTTGTTTATTTAAATTTATTTTGATGCCACGGCTCTCGATTCGATTCGATTCGTTTCGTTTCGATTACGATATTCGATGCGATATATTATTTTGCTTTGCTCTGTTGTTATTGTTGAAGGGGGGTCCCTTTGTTTTAGTTTCATTGGTGCATTGGTGCGTTTAATATGCAGAGTGCTCTATATATACACGGTTATATATACAGTTGCGGCAAAAAAAATAGCACCATGACATATATTTTTCATTATTGATTAATTGTTTTATAACTATTCATATATTTAACTTGTTTAAGGCTTTTATTTTTACTTTAGGCTCTAATTTATCGAAATACACTGCAAGTGTCGTCGATAATAACATGAAATTGAAATATTTACATTAAGAATGTGAACGTTGAACATTTTAGGCGGCAACAAAAATAGCACTATTTCAAAAATAACTTAAGAAAACGAAAAAAAAAAAAAAAAATACGGGAAGTTCTGGAATATTTGAATTCATTTGTATTCCTTATCGATATAGTGTATTAATATTTCGTTGTAAAAGCTTTGGCAGCAATGACAGCAGCACAACGTCTCGGCATAGAATTGACCAAGTTTTGACACCTTTCCCGTGGAATACTGCTCCATGATTCTTGAATGGTGGCCCAGAGCTCCTGATTAATCCTTGGTTTTGCATTGGAAACATATTTTTTTACATCAGACCAAAGATTCTCTATCGGGTTTATGTCTGGAGACTGAGCAGGCCAATCCATTAGGTGAAGCGATCTGTCTTGAAACCACTTAGGAGCTTTCTTGCTGGTATGTTTAGGGTCGTTATCCTGTTGGAAGACCCACAACAACGGTATTTCGTATTCTGCATAAGACAGCATCACTGTTAGCAAAATATCGCAATAGACATGTTGATCCATAATACCTTTTATCCAATGTATTGGACCCACTCCGTAATAAGAAAAGCATGCCCAAACCATGATACTCGTTCCACCGTGTTTTATGGTCTTGCAGGTGAAACTTGGGCGGTATTCCGAATTGGGGGGTCGCCGTACATAGGATCGAGATCCTCTTCCTCCAAATAGCACGATTTTGCTTTCATCCGACCATAGGATGTTTGGGCATGCTTTTCTTATTACGGAGTGGGTCCAATACATTGGATAAAAGGTATTATGGATCAACATGTCTATTGCGATATTTTGCTAACAGTGATGCTGTCTTATGCAGAATACGAAATACCGTTGTTGTGGGTCTTCCAACAGGATAACGACCCTAAACATACCAGCAAGAAAGCTCCTAAGTGGTTTCAAGACAGATCGCTTCACCTAATGGATTGGCCTGCTCAGTCTCCAGACATAAACCCGATAGAGAATCTTTGGTCTGATGTAAAAAATATGTTTCCAATGCAAAACCAAGGATTAATCAGGAGCTCTGGGCCACCATTCAAGAATCATGGAGCAGTATTCCACGGGAAAGGTGTCAAAACTTGGTCAATTCTATGCCGAGACGTTGTGCTGCTGTCATTGCTGCCAAAGCTTTTACAACGAAATATTAATACACTATATCGATAAGGAATACAAATGAATTCAAATATTCCAGAACTTCCCGTATTTTTTTCGTTTTTTTTCGTTTTCTTAAGTTATTTTTGAAATAGTGCTATTTTTGTTGCCGCCTAAAATGTTCAACGTTCACATTCTTAATGTAAATATTTCAATTTCATGTTATTATCGACGACACTTGCAGTGTATTTCGATAAATTAGAGCCTAAAGTAAAAAATAAAAGCCTTAAACAAGTTAAATATATGAATAGTTATAAAACAAATAATCAATGAAGAAAAATATATGTCATAGTGCTATTTTTTTTGCCGCAGCTGTATGTATCTTATGTGCATGGCTATTTATCGTTAATATGTATTGCATGATACTGTTTATACTGGTAGTTAACTATTGAGTATACGGATATGGGAATAGGTGCGCTTAAGGGTTACATAATTGCGATAATTGTGGTGCAGTTTGGAACACGTTATTGTTATTGGTGCCTTTTAGTTGGAAAATTCATTTAAAACTGTAGTATAAAGTTATTTAGAACAATTATATTGTGCACTTGAAATGGCAAATGAAACAAAGTAAAAACGTAATGGAAATAAACTAACGAAAACTAAAACAGAAACGGAAACAAAGAGAATTATATAGAGTAAATAAATAAAAAATCGAGCACGGAATTGAAAGAGTTGAGAATTCGAACGCTGCACTTGAAACCGATACATACCTTGGCTGGCTGGGCTGTCGCACCGTCACCACTCACCCGATGACCGCCAAGGTTGTTCACCACGCACGTGAAGGTCGCGTCCCGACCTTGGGCAATGGTCACGTTCTCCAGCGGCACCACGAAGTCCGGCTCGAAGGCGGCCACTACGGAAGGGTTTTGTTTGGTAACGGTAACGGTAAGATCTTCATTTCAATTGATATTTCCATGAAGAAGAGACATTTATTGAACAATTAACACAATTTCGAACAAATATACATATGGCTATGGGTGGATGTAAGTGTTTTATGCGTTTATCTTTGTATTCGTGTCGCAGGAAATTCAACTAAAATATTCATTTATAGATATTTATATATTATTTATATTGTTTGGAATTTCAAATAATATTTTTCCCAGTGTATGCGTTTGCATGTGTGTCTTTTTGGACAGTGTAGAGCGAGCGGCCTGTCAACGATTGGCAAATCAATAAGATCAAGCTGAACGAACCGCTCAGATCTATAGCGATAACGCGATATCGATCTAATCGGGCAAATCAAGCAAGCATATAACGCAAAGCCGGACTATCGGTGTATCGATCTGCTGCGATCACCGATAGCCGCAACTCTCGATAATAGAGCTGGAAATAAATCGATTTTTTCCTACAAAATTATACATGTAAATCGATTAAAATCGATAAAAATATAGATTTTCGTCAGAGATTTATAAATTTATGGTTCTTATGATTTTGTCTATCGATGTATTTGTATTTAAATATGAGCCCTTTGGTATTCTTCACCGTTAATATGAAACAATTTAATACATTTAATTACACCGATTTTTTTTTTACCATTTGAATCTAGAATACCAATTTCCGGAAATGTTACGATTTCTAAACGAGCAGAAATTGTAATTGAAAAAATAATTCAAAGATTTTAAGTTTGTACTTAACCTTTTCACGAGTTTACATACGTATAGAATTTCTTCGATAAAATCGATTAATCGATTATAGAATCGGTTTTATTTCCAGCTCTACTCAACAATGTTTAGGTTATCGATAATGGGTTAAAGCGAAGCAGAAACGTTTATCGGCATTTGCCCAACGCTTCAGCGCCAGAGCTCGATTAGTTTATATTCATTTACTGGACACACTTACCAATGCAATTGCAGAGTAGCAAAAGTACCAGCAATTGCCAGCGAACGGCACTTGCACTTCCGTTTCCGGTTGTGGTTCCACAGCCGCTTCCGGTCTCACCAGCCGCCGCTGCCTCAAGGTGCGCCAGCTTGCGACGATACGTCAACCGCTTTGGATTCACAATTGAACGGGAATTATAACAACGCTGATCCTTCACCAGTCGGCTATAACTTTCGGCTATGTCGGCGATCCGCTCGCCGCTCTCCTTGACCAGAATGTTCATCATAAGAATGTTCCCGCTTCGATGGGCATGACTTTAAGCGTATTGACTGGGGCTACTTAGATGTGTGCTGGGGATAAAAAAAAATATAATTGATACTTGATAAATAAGTGGTTAATTTATGCAACATTTTTTTCTTAATTATGTTTCTTTTAGAGAACCGAAAATGTCAGGCCTAACTTCTAAGGAAAAATTGATCGAGTTTGTTGATGGAATGAAGGTATTACTTATAATACTAGAAACGCTTACTGAAAGGTATAATGAGGACTATGAGGACGCTGATTTCGACGAGCTTTTTAACTCCTCTGGAGAGAACCACGAGGATACGGCTGAGGAAGCTGACCTAGAGTTCAGGGATGATCCACAAATGATCCTGATCCAGCAAAAGGACAAATTTTTTGAGGTAAACTACGAGGATTCGGCTGAGGATGAGGAGGAGGAGATTGATCCAGAGGAAGAGAGCGACTCCTTTGAGAAGGAGGAAGAGGAGGATCCAGAGGGAGAGGCTCGTTTGATCGAGTTCGTTGAGACAACGAAGAAGATAATTGCTGAACTAGAAGGGCTTGTTGAAAGAGAGGGCAATGAGTCCAAAGTGGTCAATGAAGAGATTGATCCCGTCGAGCTTTTTAACCGCTCTGGAGAGAACCACGAGGAGCAGAAGAAGAAGATTGATCCAAAGGCAGAGCCTGAGCCGATAATGACACGTTTAAACGTGTTCGTTGATACAATGAAGAAGATAATTGCTGGACTAGACAAGCTTTCGAAGAGAGAGGACAAGGAGACCAAAGTGGTCTTAGAGGAGATTGAAAAGAACAAATCCTTTGAGGAAAACCATAAGGATTCGGCTGAGAAGGATAAGGAGAAGGTTGATTCAAAGGCAGAGCCTGAGCCGGAAATGACTCGTTTGAACGTGTTCGTTGAGACAATGAAGAAGATAATTGCTATTCTTGAAGGGCTTATGAAAGGAGAGGGCAACGAGGCCAATGTGGTTCCCTCTGGGGAAAACCACGAGGATCCGGTTGAGCAGGCTGACCTGGAGCTTGGGATTGATCCAAAAATGATCCTGATCAAGCAAGAGGGCAACTGTTTTGAGGAAAACCACGAGAAGAATAAGGAGGAGATTGATTCAGAGGCAGAGCCTCAGCCGAAACGGGCTCGTATGAAGGAATAATTTATCAGAGGTGAGTCAACTACATGGTATATCTAACCGCATTATTATTTATATTACCATTTCATGCAGAAAAGGTGATCATTTCATCCAAATGGAATACGAAATAGACGCCAGGAGAAGCCAAACAACAACAGAAGATAAAAACTGATTACAAATAATTGTTTACACACATTTCATTCTTCAACTTAATAAATTCACATATTAAAATAATTCTGGTTTTATAATTTAATGAAGTAATAACTCGAGGTCCAAGGAAATGCGAAATGCATCAACTAATTGCCTCAAATGAACTGTACTACCTTTTTCTTCCTTTATTTGTATTTATTTTTAGACACATTATCTATCTTTGCTCGGTAATTCCCTCCCTAATTTGTTGAAATAAATAATCTCTAGATACATATTGCAGTGTTTGCGCGGTATCTTGTATCTTGTAGCTACAATATCTATTGACAGAGACTGAGAGATAGTCAGGACAACAGGGCTCAGTATCCAGGACCCAGGACTCCAGGAACTGGAACGTAGCCAAGCCAGACTGTGACTGTGACTTGCCTCGCCTTTGTTTGGCGATGGCAACATTTTTATTGCCACCCCCAAGGAGGAGCCAAAGAAGAAGGATCCGGAAAAGGCAAAAGCTTCAACTACACAAGGCAAAAAAAGTGGCTTAAAACTTTCACTAAATTATTATTTAATCATCAAGGCAATATTTATTTAATTCTTTTTTATATATGCTTGCATTTATATTTTTTTTATATGATTTAATCGATGCAAAGTGCCTGGATTTTTTCCCAAGTGTAGCTGCATTCAGGACAGGACATTGCTGGTCTACGAAGCCCGCACGTGCCGCTATTTACATTTGCACGTAATAAATTCACAGAGCCAAGGAGACGAGTCGCAGGACGACTAGGACTCGCAACAGGAAATGTGGCGGAAGTGCATATGCCGGCGGTCCCTGTCCCAGTCTTTGTCCTCCTCCTGTCTGTCTCTGTGTGTGTGTGTGTGTGTCCTTCGACTTGGACCAACGTGTTGCATTCGGCACCGTCTTCCATTTCTTTCGACCTCCATACACATATTTACATTGACGAAATTTAATGAGCTCACAAAAGCTGGGCCCCAAATATTTGAGTTGGATCGAAGCCGGGCGGCAGGCACATTAGTGTGTTCGGAGGAGGAGGGGGAGGACATGGACGTGGATGTGGATGTGGATGTGGATGTGTGTTCCAGGCGTTTTATTAGATACGTGTTCTATCTATCCGTGTCCTGGCTCTCTCTCCTTCTCTCGGTGCTCGGTACTTGGTACTCATCCTTTGGTCCTTTTTTTGCACTTTACCCCCTTGGTAATGCGGGCTTCTTTTGTGCACTTTCTGCCTGCCTGCCGTTCCAGTTTCGTGGCTTAGATCTGGGCCGGAGATTCTCGTTTCCAGGACCCCCATTAAGCAGGGGCTTTGGCTGTATACCCTTGCAACTCCTTAAATATATATTTTTAAATATATTTTATATATAATTTAAAACAAGTGTGTGAAGTAAAAACCATTTCCCCTTTCCTCAACTCCCAAATTGGTCCCTATAGAGTTGATGAAACCAATTTTGGGGCTTAAAAAAATCCAAAAATACAGTGCATTTACCCTTCGTTGCATTCTTGGCTGGACAAATTAAATTATCGATGATAATATTATATTGATTTTGCCCCCCATCCCCCCCACACACACACAACAAACACACCCACACCCAGCCAGCAGCAGCATGAATATGGTTAAAAATTACTTTGTAACCGGGCCAAATTGACGGCTCATGCAGGTGAAATTTTATTAGGGTCAGGTGGGGGAAGCAACAGCAGGAGCACGTTGGGTAGCCTGTGGTCCAATCTGAAATTCCAGCCCTTTCGGGGCTCTCTGGCTTTTAATTGAAACAAAGTGCCATGGCTGAAACTCAATATTAGAGTAAATATTGCCGGTCGCCTCGCTCCCCAGTCGGTGCTTGTACTCAGATTGAAATAATATTCCAGGGACATGGAGTACACAGGCTACAGCCAGTGTTATCCCGACTGCAGGCTTAATATAATTTCTGATTGTGCAAAAAGGTGAACGGAAATTTGCTGGCATTTAATTGTTTTGCCTGCTGCTTAAGTGGCATTCCCCCGTTGCATATATTTCCCCTCAAATTTCTAACTAGGTAAGTTTGTTACCAAAAATATTTAGCCTTGTCTTTGCACAGCTTTTCTTTGGCTGGGAACTTTAAGTAAATCAGTTTGGGCTGCCTGCTGACATTTAAAATCACACACTTGGGAATGCACGAAGGGAATAGGGCCAAGTTTTGCCTCGAAAGTAAACAGAATTAAATACACACACACACACACACACACACACACACACACACAAAATGGGCAAGGGGAAAATGACAACTGGCCATTGACTGGCCCATGGAACGTGCTCATTTCCCCCAGCCTCTGGCTTTGGCCCCATCTACCCATCTTCTCTTCTCAGTACATTTCTGGTCAATGTGTGGTCGTTGTCATGGTCAGCAAAACTTACTTCTCGCGGCGCCACCGAACGAACATGGGAGATTTTGGGGGTGTGTGGACTGGACGTGGTCATTTGTAGCCTGGTCGGGTCCCTGGTTGTACAACAACAGCTATAACTATATTTGCTTACACACATATGAAATAGGAATAACTGGGTCTTTGCTGCATAATCCCAACTAGTTGGTACTTCTGCATGTTATTTAATTTTAATAAATTTTTAGAATGAAGAAAAATCATCTTGGAAAAAGACTTTGAAAAGGCTTGAGTGAAGCCGATAAGTAGACTTTGATTTCAGCGGTGGCCAGAACCGGTTGGGAATTTTAAGGCAAAGCAATCGATAATGGGACAAATTTTTAATAAAATATATTTTTACGAATATCTATGTATTTATTTATATAATTTAATAAGTCTTAGCAGTTTTCATTTAAAATGTTAATAAATGTTTAATAATTAAAATAATTAACAATGAATAATGTTAATAATAATTAGAATATTTAATAATAATAATTTAAAAATTAATACAAATATATACAAATATATAAAATATTCAAATAAATTATTAAAAAATAAATAATAATACAAATAATAATAATAATTTTAAAAATAAATCTTACCTTTGTTATGAAACCAAAAATCTCAACCTAAACTTCTCCACACTTGCCTGCAAAATTCAGATACCTCGCACAAGAATGCACTAAACCTTTTCACTTGACCCGCCCCTGTGTCCACTGGCCCCCCACCCCCACCCCCCTTGCTGGCTTGGGATTTCCGACTCCGCCCCTGGAATGGGACTTTAGTGCTGATGCGACAGATTTCCGAGACACTGTGGACATGTGGCAAAGTGTAAATGAGCAGTCCCGGCCAGAGATTCTCGCCTCGTGTGGCCGGCGGCACAATTGTCACACTAGAGAACCCCCCCTTACTGCCATCCTCTCATCCCCCCTCCACCATTCTCGCAATGTCACGCCCCTGGTAGCTAGGAAATATGCAGGAAAATGCGGCGTGAGTGTCAACTTGGTCCAGCAGGAAAAATGCCAGCTCGTGTCATATTTTTATTTGCTCACTGTCCCAGCTTTCACCCATGTTTCCACCCCCTTCCCCAATGACTGGCAACTGACCTAACCCCCGCCTATGCCACGCCCCCAAGGCAACACTCAAACAACGCCCACCACGCCTTGCGGTCTAATTGAGCGCTTTTGCTTTACCAACCTGACCTGGCGGCCATTGAGCCGGCAAACACACTGAGAGAAAGAGTTAAGGGGAACCAGAAAATTGAAATAAATTCTTCAAGAAAGTCTTGAACAATTAAAATAACATAAATATATAAAAAATAAATAATTTAATTGAAATTTATATTATTTATGACATTTATTTCCCACATTTTCTCTTTGTGTCTGGGACTTGCTGCTGGCAGGACAATTGGCGTATTGGCCTGATCCTTAGTTATCCTTAGTTATGCTATGTGTGTGTGTGTGTGCCAGTGCACTCAAGTGGAAAAGTGCCTCGCTATGAAATACGTATAAAAAAGAGGGAAAAAAAGATGGCCCGGGAAACCGGAAACGGGGGAAATAAAGCTTTGAGATCGAAAAGTAGGCAAAGGATTTGCTAACGGTATTGGTAAGCAGAAAAGAAAACTCTTGAGAACTCAAGTGTTTGAAGCTCTTTAGCAAATCTTCGTAATTGAGCCAGTAAGCTTCTCCTCTCTCTGGAATCTATTTTCCAGCTCCTTCAAGGGGAAATAAGTCTTTAAAGGTTTTAGTTTATAAAATTCGTTTGAAGATCCAAGAACTCCTTGAAAACTTCAAGAAAAAATATCACAGAGCTGCCGCATCTTTCAATTTCAATCCCATATTGGATTGCCTTCCATCTTTATTGTGAGATTTATATTTTTAGATCAAGATGTGTTGGTTATTCCTGATGCCGATAACGATCCTGCTGGTGGCCAGTCTCCTGCTGGGGGGCATAACCACGGCCACGTTCAATTGCGAACGCTACTCGCCCCGCATGTCCTTCTGCAAAAGCAACCTCGAGAAGGCCACCCAGGTGGCTGCCGAGGCGGCCAAGGCTGCCAAGGCGGCTTTGGATGCCCAGACGGATGCCGGTGAGGCGGCCAGTCAGCAGGTCAAGCTAATGCTGTCGGAACGCGCCCAGCAGGCGGCCAAAGCGGCCACCCAGGTTCTGGCCGGTAAGAAGCATCAATTGGACATTTTAGCCAAGCGCCTGGATGAGAATCGCAAGGCCATCGAGGAGGGCAAGCGGGCCATTGCCGCCACCATATGCACCCTCAAGAGGTCCTTGTGGATACGGGACAACACACGGCAGGGCCTGAAAAATATGATTCGCATGTACAAGGAGTCGCGCAGCACCCGGGCGGACATCAAATACCTGGCGGCCTTTGCCCAGCAGGAGGAGGCGGAGAAGAAGAAGCTCCTGCAGGCAGCCTTGCGGCGATTGGTCGAGCTGAAGAAATGCATGAAGCAGGCCCAGGCGGAGCTTAAAAAAATCCGCGAGAGCGTCAAAAAGGCCAACTGTGCTGCCGTGGAGGCCAGGCAAAGGAGCGACTTGCTGCGCAAGCTGGTGCCAAAGATTAAGAAGCTCAAACGCGAGGATCTAAAGACCGTGAAGGATTTTCTGCTCAAGCGCAGGCGTTCACACATTCGCAATTAAATTCTTATTAATTTCTTGAGTTTGTTAATATTTTGTAATTAATTCATATTTTAATTTGTAATTTTGGATGAATTATACTTTAAAACAATATATAGAATGGGGAAAATCACCATTAACAAGGTGAAAACCTCTTGAAGCTGCAGTTTCCAGGCCTGCAAGGACAATGATTATCACCAGGAAGAGAAGCTGATAAGGCATAAAACCCTTGGATATCTCTTAGCTTCGAGGAACCCCTGGACACAGGTACAGTCTGGCTGCTCAGCCATCCCTCCTCAGCTCCTCCCAGACCCCCTCAATTCACAATCCGCAATCCTCGATCCGTAATCCTTAATAATCCCTCTCAATAGCTCCATCCGGAGCCAAGTCAATAAGCGACCAAGCTGGCTCGGTTACAGGACGAAGGCAATTGCCGTCAAGTGCCAAATAAAGGCATAACTCCGGACACGACATTCAAGGACCAAGGAGCAACCTGGCCAAGGGAGGTCGGTAGCAAACTGAAGGCATAAAGATTGAAACTTGTAAATGGGCAAATAAAATGGAAATGAATATAATAAAGTCTCCGACGCGAAGAGCCTTCCGCCTACGGTCCTTTCGTCTTATATCCTTCGCTCTCTCTTCGCCTTCTTGGCCCTCCCCCCTTTGGTTTTTATCCTTGGATCCCGGCTGCCGCAGTCTAAGTGAAAAGCTGACAAGCAGCTTACGTAAATAATGTCAACGCAACAATAAAAATAATAAACGAATTAGCTGCTTATTCAAGGGTCATGACCCGAGGGAAGGAAAGCGGTGAGGCATGGGGAGGGGTGAGGCAGGACCAGTGCTGTCAGCGTTGAAAAGGACTTGGGAATCGGAAAAGAAAATAAAGAAAGGAAAGAGTTTATTCTTGGGTTCTGGAATCTTAATTCTGAAAGTGGTATTTAAGGTCTGAGCAGGACATATGATTTGGAAAGAAAATCTAATACAAAGGATATGCCAAAGTACAGTCTCAAGTTAAAGTTTATATTTATAAAAATATAAAATATCTTAAATACTTAAAACAAATTATAGAAATATTATTACTTCATGGATCCAACAAACAAACAATTCATGGCCAAGTTTGACAGCAAGGACTCGTTGATGGTGGGGGAAAGGAAAAAAAGGACAAATTGCCAGCACTGGGAGCAAGAGGAACAAGGACGCAAAAAAGGCAAATCCCCCAGAACAAACATTCAAATTGACTTTGCGACTCCGAGAGAACGCTTGTTGGGTTTACAATTTTCAAAGGCCAACCCCCAGGACTCGGGCAGGACTCTAGTCTATTTGTCTGCGCTGGATAGCAAATGGTAAATGGTAAATGCTAAATGCAAAATGGTGGCGGGGCACAAGGACGTTAAGATGTTTATGGCTTGTCAAGGATTATTGTTATCACCAGCTAGCCAGGTATGCAAACAAACGAGCACAAGCTGCTTTTCCCGGCTTTCCACGCTCAGCGTCATGTAATTGCCGTGTAACAGAGAGATGGCAGCCCGAGACCCAAACCCCAGAACCCCACCATCCAAAACCCGAGACCCGCAGACAGATAGACCGACCTCAGACGCAGTGACGCCGTGGCAGGGGGTCGGGGCTCGGGGATGGGCAGGTCCTGTCTGACCGGAGCCGCACAGCTTCAGTTTTAATCTTTTCCCAAAGTCACACAGGCCAGCCAGAAACCACGAAAAAATAAGAAAAAACAAACCAAAGGCCATGGAAAATGTAAAATGTTATTAGAGCTGCGAAAAGACCCCCAGATATTTCCAGTTATGAGGTAGTTTGGGTTATTTTTTAAAGGGATTTGTATAATTAAAGCTAAGATTTAAATTCTAATAATTGTTTAAATTGTTTAACTGCCTTGAATATGTTTAAAATCTATACCTAAACATTTTTGTATTTGTTAAATAAATACTTAAAAATTCAATGTATACATTTAATTAATAATTGTTGAAATACCTTGAAAGCCAGCTTATAAATCTAGATCATAACATTTTTGTATTGTTTTTTTATTTATTTAATAAATAAATACTCTTCTCTTTAATTACAGGGTATTCCTTGGCCTTATCTTTGTGCCCAGGACATGGGATTTATGAGCAGCACACACTTGGCTTCACTTTTCCCCATTTTCGGTATCCGTTTGGAGAAAGGGAGAAGTAGCTAGAGACGGAGACAGGACCAGCTGGAGATAGAACAGATGGAGCCAGCCAAGAGCTGGATTTGGAGCTGAAAAGGAGAAACTACTGGCGAGTCATGAACTGTGACAAAAGGATTACCAGGGAGTTACTTGCGGAGCGTTGCAGTTTATAGGCTAAATGAGATTAATTTGGAGATTACGCTGGGCGGGTGGCCACAATGGATCCTCCGCCACCTGCTTCTCCTCCGCTGTCACATGTCCTGTCTGCAGCTGTCTGCCTTTCAATTCATTTGGTTGCCTGTCGATTCGGTCGACGTGCAAATTTATTAGATTAACAGCAAATATCAAATAGGAAATTAACTGTCGTCTGGACACGCCAGGTGGGGCAGGGTGGGGTAGGGCGTTCACCTGGCTAGTGGCTGGTTTATCCACCTGTCCACAGCAGACACACACACTCACACACACCTGTCATTTTGATAGACACACCGAGTTACTCACAGTGGAAGGCCGCGCTACGAAAGGGTATCTTTTGCAAGCGAAATCAGTCTCTGAAAAGGTACAAATAGTGCAGTGTCAGGACACCTTGGGACGCAGGTACGTACCAGGAACGTACCCATCGTACGTATCGTTTATGATATTGAAACTGAGAGATTTGCGGGTTTCAAGCAGACAAAACGTCCGATTCTGGTTTATAAACGATAATAAAGTTAATCACCTGTCATGGGTTTTGTGGCAGAAAATGCTATAATTTTCGGAATCCGAATAAGATTTCGATTGCGGACCATTTATCGGGTATAATCCTGAGAATTTGCGAAACATGTCCGCTTTTTGTACGTTTTCGTGTCCGTTTTTTAGCATTTAGCGAAACTAATGCTGAAAGTCAGATTCTTTGTCCGTATTTAATATTGTAAACGGACATTTTCGAATTCATCCGCACAAAGTCCGCTCTTTGTCTGCTGGGGAGGAGCAAGCAGAAACCACCAGCAGACTTAACTAAGTTCTTCAGCTCTCTTGAAGAAACTTGGACTAATGAAATGTATTTTTGTATTCTTTAAACCAATAAATAATTATTTTAAGGCTTTACTTTGAATTCCTCCGAGCCTTTGCCATATAAGTATGTACATATGTATGTATGTTTTAATTCCTTATTTCATATTCAAAGAACCAACCGAGTTAGTCTTTAAAAATTTGATTTAGGAATGCCAGACTGCCTTTGTCGGATGACAGGATGCGGAGTCCCCAACAATTTGCTGGCATTCAAGTCCATCAACCAGAATCTGCCAGCAGCAGCAGGAGGGAGCTGGGCAGGAGCCAACACCATGCATAAATATGTGTGTGTGTGTGTGGCCAAGTGACAAGTGCCAGGACCAGCTAGGATCCAGCAGGGGTCAACCAAGGGGCAACCACTTGGAGCATGCGGATATGTATTAAATGCTACAAATAGCTGAGTCCCATTCAATGCGAGGGGCAAGGGCTGAGGTCAAAACTCGGCAAATGGCAAGCAAAACATGACTCGCTGACTTGTTGCTATGTGGATAAAGGTGCACTGAACGAAATAATTGGTGAAAAGGAGAAACTTTATGCTTTAAGAATTTTTATTTTAATTTAATTTTATTTTGTTTTCTTTGAAATTATTATTTTATTTTTAATTATTTTTATTTTATTTTGATTTCATTTAGTTTATTTTATATTTAATTTAATTTTTTATTTTAGTTTAGTTTATTTTATATTTAATTTAATTTTTTATTTTATTTTCCATTTATTTTATTTTTATAATTTAATTTTATTTTATTTTGATTTGATTTACTTTATTTTAATATTTATTTTATTTTATTTTTCGATAATTTATTTTATTTTGCTTTATTTTATTTTATTTTGCTTTATTTTATTTAAATTTTTATATTTGATTTCATTTGTAATTCTTTTTTATTTATTTTTTTTTTATTTTATAATTTTTTATGTTGATGTCATTTCGATTATTTTATATTTATTTTATTTTATATTTTATGTTTTATTTTTCTTTTTTAAATTTTATTATAATTTGATTTTGTTTATTTTAATATTTATTTTATTTTATTTTTCATTATTTTATTTTATTTTGCTTTATTTTATATCATTTTATATTTTAATTTTTTTAATTACCATTAAGAGATATTCCAGCTTCTTTGGGATCATTTTTCAGCTGGTTTATCCTTGGTCTATTTTAAATTTGAATTAAACTTCTTGCCTTAGTTTCTTTCTCTGTAGAAACCTACGTGTGTGTGTGTGTGTGTGTTTGTGCTTGTGGAAGGAGTGCTGTGCAATGCAATGAGTCAACGTCGCAAGGACACATCCTTTTTCGTGTTGGAGAACGAGAACGACTATTGGCAAAGGGAAAACCAGGATGTGAGGGGCGAAAACCTCAAACGAAAGCAAAGTTTGCTAGCTACGTGTGTGTAGAAGGATATGTGTGTGTGCGTGTGTGCATGTGTGTGTGTGTGTGTGGTTGGGGGCAGCATTTTAGGGGGCGTGCATATCCCGATTTTGTCAGTTGAAAAGGGTTCAGACAAATTTTTAAATTAATGACAAAACGAGGCCACACCGCGAGACAAAAATGGTGCCGGGGGAAAATGGCAAGAATTTCGCTTTTACTGCCGCCGCACCGCACTTTTGTTTGCCAATGGAAAATCGTTTTAATTAAATTTCGTGGCCAGTTGGCAATAACAACAACAACAACAGCAACAATAAAACACAACAAAAGTTACAAAAGCAATGAACTTGCATTTGCCGCCAGAATTTACTCCATATTACGTGAACACTCACTCGCATTTATAAACACCAACAGAGGGCCAAGCCAAATGGAAATGGAAATGGGAAAATGGAAAATGGAATGGCCAATTGATTACGAATCCTCATTTTGCCATAAATACCTGGAATCGACCAAAGGTCTTTATTTATTTATTTATTTATTTAATGCTAACTAATAGTTATAAACTAAAAGTTAACAAAGGATAATGAGCAATGGCTACCGAGGCCTTCCGCTCTACAGTGTATTAACAAAGATATGAGTGTGGAATATGTTATAATTAAATTTTATGTATGAGATTCATTTTGTGTAGAAAGTATATAATTTTATTTGAGTTTGCTGCTGTTGGATTCGCAAGGAGATGGATTGGGTTATCATTGGAAAAGCAAATTGTTCTTATTTCATTCAAACGATGATTATATTTTTAGCAGATTTTTTGAGGTTTCTGAACAGGGAAAATGTTGTGAGCTTAAAAAAGACACCTTAAAGGCGCGACTTTGGCCAAAAACAACAAAAAGAACTTGTCAATAGACAAGTAGCAGCTGTGGTTATGATCGTTTCATTGGCGCAACCCAAATCATCAGACCACTTGCTAACTATTGCTAATTTTTTTGGTACTTTGCCTTTTATCTAAGCTAGAATCCGTTGGGAATCCTAAGCGTCGATGCGAATATAATAATATTTCTATAATAAAAGAAAATTGTACAATTATTATAAGAAAAATATTGATGAATCTGGTTTATTGCATTTATTATATTATATATTTATTTACTTATTTTATTTAAAGAAAATTAAATTTACAAGACTAAACAAGACAACGAACCGATAAATACTTAAAATTATATCATTTTTTCAAGGTTAAAAATTTTAATATTTAATAAAAACCTTGGCGATTTTAGGTACAAATTTCTTTGAGTGTACCAATAATATATTTTATTATTACATCAAATATTTCTAGTATTTCTTATTTTTTTTGTAGATCATATTTTAATAGTTAATTGAATTTCATTTAGTTTCCTTTAGTCAATTACTAAGTATACCTTTATGGCTACCCATAAATATTTACACTTAACAGTGACTTAATAACTTTAAATTTATACAATAAAAACCTTCGAACTTTTTAAATATTTTAAACACATTGATTTTGTCTTAAATACCTTTTAAATACCATTTTCACCCACTTTTAATTCCTTTTCACTCCAGCTGCTGTCAGCCAGCCATCTCTGCCGGAAGTCAGTAAGTTGAAATATTAATATTGATTTAATCTTGGTTAAATTATGCCAAATACTAAGCTCTCTCTCTGCCAGGCTGCACAAATATTTGCTAGAAAGTGTGAAATATCTTGGGGATAACCATAACAGCCCGTAGGCTTATATCGTTTGCCAAGAAGCCACAAGCTGAATGCGGCTTAAAGCTCAGCCCCGGCTTCGTCACAGTTCAAGGATGTACTTTTCAGAGATATTAAATATATATGTATAAACACACAAGCACCGTACACACACACACACACACACACTCCGTGTGTATTTAATAGACTTAATATGCGTGCATTAAGTTGTTCGCTGTCTTGTTTCGTCTTTTATTGTTGATATTTAAATGCATATTTGTGCCGACATTTTTGGCGGAGTCAACTCAACATTCAAGTGGCAGGGTTCCTATCAATACCTGCTCCCATCGCTCGATGCAAATGTTGTGTAAATGATCTGAGCAACTCGCTTATGGCGGCTACACATGCGAATTGCGCGAAGGTGGCGTGCAAGGACATTGCCGAGGCGGGGAAAAAGGACACAAAGGCGGAAGGTAACCCACATATGACAGTTGCTGGGCTCAATTGAGTCCTCAAGGTGACAAACACAGGTTAGTGGGTAGGTTAGTTACCTTTAAAGGACATTGGATACTTCAAACTAAACAAAATACCCTTCAAAAACATAAAACTACTTTTGCTGCTTAACATTTTTTTTTTTTAATTTGAACGCAGTTAGAATTTCGAAATATTTGTGAGTAGAGCAGCATAAAATAAACAAGGAACATTCCGCAAGGCACCTCAAAATACAGAGGTCAGAATTGTTCAAATCGTACAGAAGTATTTATGGAAATGCAAACAAACTAATGGTGGCTTGATCCTGTGGATGGTGTGTGTGCCTGGCTTGTATCTTCAAAACTCCGAAACTCCAAAATCCAACTACTTGCCGCGTCCTGGCTTCTTCCGCTTGTACTGGATCTCCGAGGACGATGTGCAGTCGGTTTCCTGCGAGGACAGCGACGAATATTTGTAGGTTTTACGGCCCTTTCCTAGGGGAATATCGAAGCGGAATGGCATTATTTTTTCCTTAAACTGGTAGCCCAACGTGGAGGTGGAGCACTCTGGTGTTCACAGAGAAAGGATTGGATTAATTTCCCGACCCCCCCACGGTGGGTATTCGATAACAAAAACCTACCATCACTCGATCCGGACCTGGCCAGCTGGCCGTAGTAACCTCTTTCATTGGCCGCTCTAAGCGGGGACGTTGGCGTCTCAATCTTGGGCTCAAACTTCGGTTTCCTCTCCTTCTTGACACGCTTCGGCTTGGGCATGGTATAGACTTCAGCCAACTCTACGTCTTCGGGCTGCAAGGGGGGCTTTCCCTCCTCTTTTTTGGCGAAAAGGCGACCACAGTGGAGGAGGAACACCACAGTTAGGAAGACCACAGTAAGCACTATGGATGCTGCCACGTAGAGCCTGCCGTTCATGTACGGATTCTCAGGCTCCTGTTCTCCATTGTTTCCCTTCCAGAGACTGGTGGAGCGACCCTGCTTGCCCGAATTCAATTCCATCTTGGGTTCCGCCTGCACCGCCTTCAGCAGACTCTCCTGGATCTGCAGAATGCCGCCGAGTCCCGGATAGAACTGATCGTCGGCCAAGTGCTGGGGCACAAACTCCTGCATCCAGGCGAGCAGCTTGTGGTTGTATCGGGCCGGATTAATCTGTAGGTACTTCTCGCAGCCCATAATGGTGTCCAGGTAGCGCTTTAGCTCGGAGGCGGACCGGGATGAACGGAGATTGTAGACGCGATCCCCGCGAAAGGGCAGATATATATTGGTCAGGTGACCGTTGACATCCACCGGCTCCAGTTCGGGCAGCGGCAATAGCATCTGTCCCTTGTTTGACTCCTCCGAGATATCACTTAGGTCCAGATGGTCACAAATGTTGCTGCCATCATCTGTGATCCTGCTTCTGTCCGTTTCGATACCCAGTTTGGCCGGCTCTATCGTCATGCCCCTCAGTTGCTCCGTTATATTCTTGAAAGCCGGCAAACGCCAGCCATTGCCATTAGTTTTGAGCACATCATGGCACTCCCGCTTGATGTTCAACAAGTGCTCCACGGTGTTGAGGGTGACATGGCCGGCATAGAAGGAGACCCGGGCCACGGGCATTAGGTAGTAGCTCAGGTATGCGCCCAGTGTGTCATAATAGGCGTCCTCCAGCAGGCGTTCTGTTTCCTTGTCTGACATGTAGTTTACGATTTGGATGACCACGTTCCAGTAGCGCACCAGCAGGAGAGCTATGCCGTTGCCGGAAAGATATTTCGGGTATGACTTTGGCACCAGCTGCTCGAAGCCCTGGCGGGCGCTCATCAAGGCAATGTCATGCGAGGTGAAGCACTGTCTGCGGGGGCCCTGGAAGAATGTGGTGCCCAGGAAAGAGTCGTCGCCATCGTCGTCGTCCAAGAGAAATGGGTTATTATCCACCCCGGTGGAGTATTTCTTTGGTCCGGAGTTGAACTCGTCATCGGTGGGCACCTCCACGGTGGACACCTCCATGTTGTGAATGCCAACACCGTCACCGTTTCCGGTTGCCAGGAATGGCATTAGCCACAATAGCAAGCACAAGTTCATCTTGAGTTTATAATTTTTATCTGGATTTATTTATTAATTTTTTTTTTTTGGTTAGGCACACACAGCTATATAGCTCCGGTCTCTAGGAAAGGTCGGAGAATACTGGCAGGTATCCGAGGAATAGGTTACAGCTGGAGCAGAAGCCTGCTTTGTCTTGAAATAAATTCGTAAGACAACTAGAAAAGCAGCTTATTTTAATTTCTATAATTTAGGTGGCAACGCTGTGGAGGGAATACTGTGACCAGGAGTCATGAATTTGCTTGAATTCATAAAGCTTGTAGAGTTCATGCATTTTCTTTAATTTTTCATAATTACTTTTTTTTGAATATTTATAATTTAGGTGGCAACTCTAGGCAGTGAATAGTGTGACCAGGAGTCATGAATTTGCTTGAGTTCATTAAGTTTGTAGAATTGATGCATTTTCTCTAATTTTTCATAATTATTTCGTAAGACAAACTAGAAAAGCAGTTTATTTTAATTTTTATAATTTAGGTGGCAACGCTGTGGAGGGAATACTGTGACCAGGAGTCATGAATTTGCTTGAATTCATTAAATTTGTAGAATAACTAATATTTAAGCTAATGCACATTCTCTAGATTTTCATTATTATTTCGTAAGACAACCAGAAATGCAGTAAATTTTGAATTTTTATAATTTTGATGGCAACATTAGGTAGTGAGTAGTGTGACCAACCGTCTTAATATTTCTTGAATTCATAAATTAGCAGAATATATATTTTAAACACACACGTACTTTGCCTAAGCCTCTTAAGGTTACAGTTACATTATTATGGCTGGTCGATATTTAAGCTAATGCATTTTCTCTAGATTTTCATTATAATTTTCTCTCGGCATTCTTGATAACACAATATGGCATACTTATGGAAAAAAACATGTTTAATAAGCCAATTACGAGGCAATAATGTGGGTGCATGCTAAATGATGCATTAGATCCTTGCATATCCTGCAGCCTTTTCAGTTGCTCGTATTCGTGTGTGTTTCTTCCTAATTCCCATCCTTTGTGCTCTCCTGCGAACTTTCGAATTGTTCTGGCATTACGCATACGCAGCGTGGGTCTGCATTCTTCCATTTGTAAGCCACCTTCGTCTCTCTTCTCTCATTTATTTTTTTTTACTTAAAGTAACTGCAACCATTCCCCTCAATTATTTTCTGCAATTTTCTTTTCATTTATGGAAAATATTTCTTCTTTTATTGTGAGCTGTGCTGCTGCTGCTGCTGCTGCTGCTGCTGCTGCTGCTGCTGCTGCTTCCTTTGTTGCCGCTGCCGACTGGCCTTTGTTCCTGTTGTTTGCGGTGGCTTTGTGGGCGAACCCTTGCCCCTCTGCCGACACACATGTGTAACCATTTCGCCACTGATGCGTTTTTAATTGTGTTTATTTCCGCTTCGCTGTGACACGTCATTTATAAGCTGGCACGCCCACAAAAAAGGACAGGCTTTCCTATATTTTTACCCAAACTGAGTTTAAAGTTAAGCTTTTCTCTTTATTTTTTTGTTTTTTTTTTTAACCATTTCGATCGGTCTTGGAGCTTCTTGTGATTTATTTACTGGCGCGGAGATCCTCTTTGTATTGCCAAAAAAAATATGAAGGGATTTTTGGGGGACCGGAAACGGAAGTCGGTCTCGACCGGAAAATATTGCGTGCGAAAATTTCGTTAAATTTCGCTGAAGCCGACCAACCATTGTCCTTTATTTGCCCATGTCCTTTGTTGCCAGCGCCCCTCAGCTTCCATAATTACTGTTCGAATTTCCTTTGTTCGCCGAAAATATAGGGAAGATGGATGCCTTTTAATTGTGATTTTTGGCATTGCATTGGCATCACCGGAAAATTCAAAAATCCCTGTCCAGCGGTCATAATGTTATGCTAATTTCTTTATAAATTCCAAATTCAAAAACTCTAAAATTTTACTGCATTGTATGGATGCAAGCAACCCTTCTCTTTTTCTCTGGGGACTGACAGACGTTGCTCTGCAGGTGAGCGAGTTGGGCACGTCATCAGTCATATCGCCTTTCCGAATTAGTGACGATTGAAAGCCCGCGGTAGGCAGGCCGTCGTTCATTTTCCGCATGTCGCTCGAGGTCCTGCGAATGCGATATTGGGAGCGAGAGCCCTGCCACAAACAGGCGGAAATGCAGAAAATGCAGAATTCTGGCACATAAACGTACACTTCATTAACAGGCCATAGCTGATCCTTAGCTATTGGAAATTATTTAAATTAATTAGCTTAAAGGAAACATGTTGAAATCACCTCCAAGGCTATAACATAGCGGTGGATATCCTTAAATACACATTTATTCAAGCTTTTGAAATGAACTTTAAAGTCAAAGGCTACTGAGTTGTAATAAATCGTAGCCCTGAATGGCGAAAGTGTGTAATATTGTATGAATATGAAATTCGAGGGATATTTCAATTTATTCAAAATGCGGCAGGTGGAAGAGAACCGGAGCCAGAGAGCCACGGAGGAGCATTAGTTGATTAACCAGTCTATCCGGAGTTGTCAAGGAGTTAGTTGGGAGCTAGCATTCCGGTGAGTCAAACCAAACCAAACCAAACCGTAGCGAAGCCAACGGACTCGAATTCCGGAATCCCAAATTAATGCTAATTGAAGTGCATGACTTTTGTTTTGGCTACAAGTGCCAGGAGTTTAAGGTGCTGCAGGTGAAATCCACACAGAGAAATCAACTGTTTAAAATGTCTGTTTAATTTGGGATTAAAGCAGACCAAAAACCATACTTTACGTAAAGGAATTGAGAAGGGAAATAAAAGTAATGCAGTTGGTTTTTATAAGAATTTAGAAAGATTTTAGTTAGGAATTTAGGGAAGTTCAACAATTATTTATTTATTATTTTTTATTTTAACAATTATTAATTATTAAACATGTTTTTAGAAGCATTATTTATGGGTTTGAGAAACATAAAGTTTATAAGGATTAAAAAAAAAGATTTTTATTACGAATTCAGGGAATCTCAATAATTATTAATTATTAAACATTTTTCAAAAGGATTATTCATGGTTTTTTAAACATAATGTTTATAAGAATTAAAAAAAAGGTTTTAGCTAAGAATTCAAAGAAGCCGAATAATTATTTATTATTAGTTTTTGAAAATATTTTAAAAGGATTGATTATTTTTATTTTAAATAAAATGTTATAGGTGTTACACACATTTTATTATCATAAAATGTACAGAATATTTTATATAAAATTTCAAAGAGTTTTTATATATTTTTTTAATAGTTTTCTTAGCATCTTAAAATTGTATATAATTTTAAAAATTATTAAAATTTATTATTAATTAATTTTCACTGTTGTACAGTTGCGACAACACAAAAAAAAAAAAAGAGATTTCTTCAAGAGATTTTGTAAGAAAAAGGACAACCGCATATGTTATATATTTGTTCTAAGAGTTTTTATACATTTTTTAATAGTTTCCTTGGCATCTTAAATTTTTGAAAATTGAATAATTGATTAAAATTAATTATAAATTAAGTTTCACTGTTGTACAGTTGCCACAACACAAAAATGAAAGATTTCTTTAAGAGGTTTTGTTAAAGAAATAACGAAAAAAGCTCACGAAAATTAAAAAAATTAATTATACTCCCCTGTGTAATTTCCAATGTTTCACCTTTTCTTTTTCCCAACATATTTCTAAACTAAAATATTTTAATATTGCCACAAAAAGAATGCATTTTGCACTAAGCACTCTTGCTAATGGCCACAAAGGCTGAACATTCATGTGTGCCATAAGTGGGACCTTTTCTGGAGAATGAGCTGTGTCCCTGGCATTGGCATTATCCTTGCAAAAATGGCCAGATTCTTTGTCGCCGCAAAAACTCACTCATTTGCCCCTTTGTGCGTCCTGTTTTTTTGTGTGCCTGCCCCCGGTACAGTTCACATTGCACATTGTACATTGTACATTGTGCACACTTCATTATTTAATATATAAAATGCATCCACACACGCACACTTTAGGGGGGCACAAAGGAAGACAATTGCTGTGCAAGGCGAGGCGAATGAGTAAAAACGTTATTTAATTAATTAATTTTCATTAAAAACAGGACAAAATGCGACGGTAAATGGGGTGGGATCACAGCAAACGGGGCCACGGGCCACGGACTATGGTACATTGCAGGACGACGGGCATTAAAGGACGAGCAGATGCTCCTGCTCCTGTCAGTCTGGCTGTCATTTACAATTTTAATCTCGTTGTGCAGCAGTTTAGCTTAAGTTCGGGGCGACGGACAGGATAATGAGCGGCGCGCGGCGCGGCTAGCGCGCTCAAGGATAATGGATCCTGCAGGTATATATCCTTTACACGCGCCACCCCCTCTCCCACCTGTAATTAAACACTCGCGCATGCAGCGAACACTTTGCCCAAGAACTTTGGCCCGCGACGAATTTCATGGCTAATAAATCACTTTTAATATTAATAAAACATAAATCACGGCCAACTAAAAAACTTGAGGAGGCTGCAGCCTTTTGTTCGATGGGGAAAAAAAAGTTTGAGTCCCCCCAAAGAAAAGGGATGCCAGGAATGTGGCTTAGGGGCGGAAGTTAAGGATATAACTTAACCCGAAAGTTACACCGAGTTCGAGGGGAGATCAAAATCCTGGCGCAGGAGTTCATAAATTCCACAGAAATCCAGGGTGATATTGTTTCAACATATCTGAGGTGACGGAAATAAATCTTAAAAAATTATCTCACATAACGAAATGGTGATTAAAATCATAGGTATTTTTAATAAATAAAAGTAAATATTTTGGAAGGGATATTAATAAGTTTTGAGAATTATGAAGGCACTGAAAATGTATATTAGTTGAATTTTACTCTAAAGAAATTGTTTATCTTTAAAATTATATGCAATTGAAGGTATTAGAAATTAACAAAAATATTAATACTCACATAAAAACCGTGAAAATATTATTGAAACAATTTATTAAAAAAATTTAACAATATAATTAATGAAGCTAAGCATTTAACTATTTTATTAAATAATAAATATGATATGCTAAAGTTGTATATAATATTATACAAAGTATATATCAAGCATCCTTAAAATATATATATATTTAAAGTATTGTATTAAATAATAAATATAATAAGCTAAAATATGAATTTATGTATCGAAACCACAAATTTAAAAAACAAACTTTACTTTACTTTAAAAGAATAAATCAAGAAAAAGCTTAACTTTTCAAAGTGTTAATTTAAGAGTCAAATAACTTTAAATATAAAGAAAGGAATTTATATTTCATTGTAAATAAATAAAATAAGATTTAAATGTCTTTAAATATTTTTACAAAATAAACTACTAATTAATTATAAATAAAATAAAATTTAAATGCCTTAATTGGTAATAAAATATTATATATTTAACAAAAACTCTATCCTTTTTTTACTTTAAAAAAATAAACTACTATTTAATTGTGAATAAAATATATTTTACAATACTCTACAAACACTTATCCTTTTACTAAGGCAAACAATTAACAAATATAAGCAATGAATTATATTTAAATAATAAAATTATTAAATTGTAAGCTTAAGAAATATTCTACATATCCATTTTCAAAATATAAATAAATAAATAAAACACTGCCTCTAAACAAAACAATGCACGATTGCTAGAAACAAAGCCAAAGCCCAACATTAACTGAATGAGCGAATGCCCAATTAAGCAACGGCAAAGAATAAAATCACAGCACGAAAGGATCCTCGGAGGACCACTCCAATGAAATGCAATCAACTGGATGAATACCTGAATGAAAGTCCTTATGAATTAGCAAGTGAACAAGGACAGCAGGACGAGAGAGTGCTGATGGGAATGATTTGTGGAAAAGCCAAGAGTGGAAAGATAATGCAAGTGACAAAAAACGATCAGCGGGTTATCATCAAGGAAACTATGTTTCCAACGGCACTGTTTCCCAAATCTCCAAATTCTTTAGTTTAATTTATGGAATTTTGACATTTACCTTTCTACAAAGAACACGAGGCGAGTCAAGACGATGTTCAGGTCCAAAAATCACTGGCTGGCACTCGAAAAAAACTTGCACTTTTTTCAAAAACAAAAAAAACATACAAATATTATGATATTCTCTTTATATATTCTTTGATTTTATATTTTATTTTATTATTATTATTTTTTTAATTTTTATTCGAAAGTAAACAAGAGTAACTATTTGCACTTCGCGCCACTCGGGCAAGGACTTCTTCCCAAGTCCTGCAGAATTCCAGAATCGTTTTCGGACACAGTGTCCACTTTGGTTGGGTAAAAAGGCAAAGGATTCGGTTTCGGCTTGGGGTTCGGTGTGGATCCACTCGACTGAACTGAACCGACGCGCTAGGAAGTTGCCCGAGCACTGAACCTGACGCGCCAAGCGCCTTTCGCATTGGACCGACCTAGCGCAACGCGCTCGTCCTTCGGCAGCCACGATGTCCTGTGCCATCCTGCTACCCCATATCCCGTTTCTTATCGCCCGAAGTGTCCCGAACTCAACACCGAATGTCGTTTGCCAGGATAACAGTTCGGGCTGTGCGTGCTTCGTCCGTTTATTAGCCGAGCGTCGGCCGGCAACATGTTGCCAGCAACATTCCCAAGCCAATGCCAGGATATATGCCAGCCAGGAATAGAATAAGTCGATTTCCAAACTCCAGAAAATCCTGTTTAACAAATACATTTATATAAATATTTCTCCGAGCTCCTGGGAGGGGTTCTTCCCAGCAACTCGAGAACAATCGAATCGAAGTCATAAGGATGCACTCACTCATCGCCGGGTTAATTGAACGGAGCAGCTGCTGCACCAAAGTGCAATCAGCCGGATCATTACCGAGATTAAAATCGAAGCGAATTAGCAGGCAAGTGAGCAACTCGATTGGCATTATTCATTTTCCGGTGAGTTTCTGCGAGTGAAGGGCACAACGATGCGATTGCCACTGCCACTGCCAAAGAGTGTCTCAGTTTGCTAAATATTTAACTGCCAGTTCAGTGAACAAATTATTAATTGACCAAGGCATAATAATAATTATAAACAAGAAAGTTGGTTACATTTGGAAAGATTAGCTGTTTATGTCCTTATTCTTTGGCAGCTACAAGGTTCATAAAGACATGACTTTTGAAGTCGTTAAACTATTTAAATTAACTAAAAATATTAACAAAAAAATATATATATCTATTTTATATATTTCCTTATATTAATTTTCATATTTAAATTCTTGTTTATACTTTAGTTTCTTACCAAAATGATATCGATTTATATATATAGATATAGATTTAAAGTCTCTATAATATGTATCTGTGAAAAAATGTAACTAGCATATTGGTTTTCATTCCAATTAATATATTTTCAATTGTTTATTGTTTATTTTATATTCATTTATAGTTTACATACACGTTATATTATTTTTATAAAATATATATTATATTAAACCTTAAACCTATCTTGGCTTTATTTAGTTTCTAGGTTGAAAAAGGAAATATTATCCGTTAAATAGATTTAAGTTACTATTTACCTAATAATACAAGCTGCAAATGACAACTAATTCTTTAACCAATTAGTAAACCTGTAAAAGTATATTTTCTCAATCTATTTACCAAAATGAAAACCCTCTCACTTTACCAACGGAAAATATAATTAAAATTGCAGCCAGAGCAAAGGGAAGCGTTAAATAACTTAAATAACTGCGGCTTTTGCAATCAAAGTCGTAGTCTCTTTGGCTCCTTGGCTTTCCTGGCCGGAAAATTCACTTATCAGGCAGGTGCCTAAAGTGCGTTTTCCCCTCTGCCCCTCTGCCCCTCTGCCCCTCTGCCCCCCTGCCAACCAAGCGTTTTCACGCTTTTTCCCGCACACACACACACACACACACATCACTTAGGCAAATCAAGGATACCAATAAAGGCAAAAAGGCGGCAACACTTAGTCAGTTCGCGATGAGAGCGAGAGTCCTTCTCGCAGGATCTGCTGCTTCTCCTCGGCCCAACATAAGTCGTCGTCCGTGGCATGTGTGGAAAAGCGGGAAAAGCGGGGCGGAAAAGCACTCTTGCGCTTGTTTTAATGAAATTCAATGCGTCGTCGGCGGCGGCGGCGGCGGCGGCAAACCTTTTCACCAAATGAACACGAAAATTCTCATCACTGTCTTGGGGTGGCTGAGTACCTGAGTAGGCCTGAGTACCCCTCCCAAAGGCCTGCTTGGGTTACCATTTGCCCCGAAAGTAACCAAAGAAACCCACTTTCATGCTCCATAAGTAAATTCATTTGCCACGCCCCCCTCTCCGGCCCCTTGCCAGAGTGCCCACACCTTGATCTTAATGAAATGTCATCAACTTTGAGGTGTTTATTGCGCTGACAACACACACACACTCACACTCACACCCGGCGAGGCGCACACTGAGCGAATATTCGGGCTACAAAAGGTTAGCCTTAAATTACACATAGTCAAAAATTTGTTAAATGATTTTATTAAATTAAAAAAATTAATTAATATAGTAAAAAAACAAACAAAAAATTGAGAATCTCAAAAAACTATTTTGTTATAGAAATAAGGTTTAATTGTTGTATTAATCTTAAGTTGAAGCTAAAAAAAAAAGGAATTTTTTGTTTTTAATTTTTAAATCAATTTTAAAACATTATTATTTATTTATAATTTGTTTTTATGGTAATATTAATATGTAAATTAATGGATATTACCATAAAAACGAATAATAAATAAATATAAATATTTGAAGATTCATAAAAAAAATAATTTTTGCACAGTGTATTTATAACCAAAAGGGTTGGGTAACGGTGGGAAAACCCTTTGAGGAACCAAAACCGAGCCCAAAGTAATCTTTGAGTCTTACTGTCAGGCTCCCCTTTTCACCCACCCCCCGGGGAAGCACCAGCTTTTCTCTGGAAAATGCTGAAAAGGTGTGCTTGTATGTGTGTGTTTGTGTGTGCTGCTAAGCAGGAAGAACATTTTCATGTATCATAAATTGTCTAACACTTAAAAAGTGATTACGTCTGCGTGTTCCCCGGGAACCCCGGTATCCCGGATCCTTTGGCAGGAGCAATCCAATCGAGGACATCAATTTATAGAGTTGCCAACGGAGCTTAGCACTCTAGATAAACAATTTTGTGCAAGTTGTTAACTTTTACGATGACTCATTAATTTTGTAGATTTTCACTGGCAAACGGATTGGGCAAAGGGGGCTTAAGTTTCGGTGTAGTTTCTGCTGAATTGTTGTTTCACGAAAGTTGTTTGTCGATTTTAATGATGTGACACTAAATACTTGCTGCCATCCCTCAATGCCAGCCCACTTTTGCATAACAAAGGACTCGGCAGGACGAGCAGGGACGCCGCAATGCATTATCCGCAGGGGAGCTGTGTGTGTGGCTCCAAAAACAATAAACATCTCGCTTCTGATTCGGACTCGGATACGGATACACCGGATTCCGGGACCAGATGACAGCACATGTCACATAATCAGAGGAAACCGGAGACCAAAAGGTGTGTGGGTTACGGTCCGGCAGACAGGCCCACGATTCCCTGGAATTCTCAAAGTTCTCAAAGTCCTAGGGGGTCCTCGGACTCCCCGCAATCCGGGCCTGTCATATCATTACCAAAACAAGACTATACTTTAAAGAAGAATTATTTGATATATTTTGTGGTTTAATCTTAAATATACAAATCGAATTATTATTTATAATATTAATATAGTAACTCTGGCATTTATATTGGAATTTTCCAAGTTTTCTTAGAGTTTTCTTTTAGTTCTTAACTTCTCCCAAAAAAACCACAAAATAGCTATTTTTATTATTGCTTATTATAAATTAAATTTCCCAGCTTCCCCATTTCGTTGACCTCCATTGTATTACCAGCCAAAAATTAACCAATTCAAAAAGTTTTCATAGTTGCGGTTGGCTGGGGAATCGGGTTTCACGCACTGTTCATTATATTCCAACGATTACATTCGGTTTATTGTGGTTCCAAAAATTATATATATTAACTTTAATGAGTAGGGATTTGGCCACTTTAAATTCCTACCTACACACACATGCATACATTGCAATTAGTTTTTATGATTTCCATGGAAAACCTCAAAGGGATTTGAGTTTTGAAAGGGGTTTCTTAGGCTTGATGGGATTTCGGGGTTAAAATAGTTAATTAAAAATGTCTGTAAAGGAAGGAAATTAACGAAAATAAATACTTTAAATTAAGTTTAGAATTTTAGGTTAAAAAAAAAGGAATTGATCAGTTTTTTTTGGCAATTTTCTTTGATTTTTTGTATACTTTTCTATGTGACTTAGAGGCTTAAAAACATTTAAAAATAAGAAAGTCCAGGAAAAACTCGAAGCTTTAAGGTATTTCCGCAGGATTGAAGAGGTACTACACCTCAAGGACTCCACTTGCTCTTTCACTTCCCCACAATTTTATTATTATTATTATTTTTTTTTTTGCCTTCTCCAACCGATAACCGCGGCATTTCCCCATCTAACAGACAGTGCGAGTGACAGAGGTGTCGACTTTCCCGACTTTTCCGACTTTCGCCGACCTTACCCCCTCAATAATTTGATGTCCGGGAATCAAGGGACCTCGTCTCCCGTTTCCTTTTTCTCCCTGGGTGTCCGTTCGGAGGCTTTATTGGTGTTGTCGGGCCAAATCGCTACAAAATGTAACTACTTAACAGCGACAATATTGGGGCCAGCGGTCAGGGGTCAGGGGTCACGAGGGCAGTGTAAAGGGGGGGCGGGGCGGGGCCTTATGGCCTGGCAAATTAAGGAATTTTCATTGAAAAAAACTTGCCAGTCACGCAACAATCATTTGGCCGAGGGCAACGTCAGCCACAAATACCGAGAGGCAGCACTGGAAGTAAATATAAAATATATAAATAAATAAATATAAAAAATATATAAAAGAAAAAAATAAATTTAGATATAAATGTAAACAAATAAAAATAAATAAATACAAAAAAATAGTAACAATTATAAATAAATATATAAATAAATATAAAAATATAAATAAATAAAAAAAAATATATAAATAAATATAAAAAATATAAATAAAAATATATTTAAAAAGTCCTTAAAA